CTTCAGCAGTTACAAAGCACCTTATATATATGTCTGCACTTGATATTCCAACTTAATTTATGCGGTTGTGTAAACTCACGCTGGTCAGCAACAAAAGCTTAAGTAGAATTGAGAAGGATCTCTCTGAGCCGTTTGGCACCAAAGAAAGTTTCAAATAGGATACTGTTTGTCGTGCGATTTCTTGAATTTGATATCAAAGGATATAATAAAATATGCAGATCTAAATGTACATGGAACTTATTAAATTTGTTGCATTAATATTTCGCCACTTGCACCACTCAGAGTAGAGCAGTCACAAAGATTAAGAATTGTGGGGTTCCTAAGCAAATATATAATTCCTGCGATATATCTTCGTAGGAGAGAGAACGTTCATTTCACTCGTTCTTCGTTATACTTATTTCGATCAGATTTGTTTACGTTTCTTATACTCGTAAGTCGTTATCTGATTCCATTGCCACGCGGCCTGATCACAGGGAAATGTTTTTGACTTACGTTTCATCTCTTTCTTTGAGTTCTTTTGCATGCTCTGAGAGCGATAGAAGTAATTTGGTGAAAAGCCTTACTCAAAGAACTAAATCGACAATTTGTTAGCTAGAAGACTAGAGAAAAAAATCTGTCAGCAGTTTTGATTGAGCTTCCCAGATAATTGAATTTCTGCGCAAAGGAAAGCAAGATATTACGAAGGGATTAACAAAAGTTCGGTATGTTGACCAGAAAAAAAAGTTTTTGTATTTATTCGTAATCTTTTTTATTTTTGAACTTCTCCACTTAACCGCCATTGATTTCAATGCATTTTTTAAGTCTACACTTGGATACACTTCTGAGAACAATCTTCAAAATATTGCTTTTAAGCTTATCAAGTTCAGCATCGAAAGCATTAATTATCTCCACTTTGCTATAAAAGATCTTACCATCTAAAATTTATTAAATTTTTGGAAATAACCAGAATTCAGAAGGTGGCAATATGGTGCTGGACGTATTTCATCGAACCCAGAAAACGCTATAAAAATAATCGATATTTCAGCAGTGTGGGATGGCGCGTTGTCAGCGCCGCGATTCCTCTTTCTTTCTGTTTTCCAAAAAATTTTTGAAAACTTCTGGTAAACACTCTTCGGTGTACCATTTTGCAATTACTGTCTGACCCTTTTCCAGTGGAATAGCACATACGAATTTAGATCGGGTGAAGTGAACTGACAGCATTACTTTTGGTGCTGATTTTTATTGCTTAGATTTTATAAGTGGGTTTGCTGCTGGGCTCCATATCAAGACTCGTCACCAGTATCGAAAAAATTAAGGAAAACCTGAGAATATTTTGGGGCCTCATTTAAAATTTGTGTTACCCATCGAGCAGATTTCTTCGTGTATACCAAATGATTACTTAATATTCGAGATACAACCATGGTGTACAAGCACAATTCATTAGCAGTCATTTCCTTGTGTCAATCGGGGGTCTCCGTCAATTTTAGACTTCACCAGAGCTACGGCGAGGTCATCAGTAGAAAATTTTTGTCAACCTTCACGGGGCTTGTACTCTACGGAAAAATGATCGTCCTGGAGTCTTCGAAATTGTTTGTAAATAGTCCTCAAAGACGGTGCAATCGTTTTATATGCAATTCGGTATTCAGCAAATATTTGTATTGGCTGTAGGTTACGCCGAAACCTGAAGAAAATCACATGGCGAATTTCTGTTTGTGCTGGTGGTGGAATTTCTTCTGACCTATCCTCAGCTATCTTGTTTTTTCTCGTCTCCATTTCAGCCGATGGTTTTAAGATCTGAGAAAAAAACTTATAAAGCAATTGCAAGGGATTTGGTATTTTTAGATTTAGCGAACACAAATTGAATGTCACTAACTGAACGAACTTTAATGAAACCCCTCGAACATGACTTAATTGACAGAAAACTTCAAAAACCAGCAGATAAGATTTATGTACAATACTTGTGCAGTGATGATTTGTTTTGATTTTCGATAATCGCATCGCTTGAAAATATTGTGAAAATTTTAACTTCATAAATTCTTCAATCAATTTTGCTACAATTTTGTATTAAAAGATAAAAAGCATTTCCAACATTATTATTTAACAAAATTAAATTACATACTTGCGGATTGAAGAAACATTTTCTAAATTCTATTTTATGAACTGAATTTAGTTGCGTTTCTAGTTTTTATTTTCTTTGTTGTTTACATACGTAAAAAATTTCCTTTCAGTACTTAAAAGCATTTTTAAAAGCAACGCGCAATGTAATAACTTCACCACATAATAACAAGCGTTTCTCCGTTTGAGTGTATGTTTGTAGGTGCGTGTGTGGGTGATAGTACACAAACACTTACAGTGAATATTTGTTTGAACAAAAGTCTCTGCAGGCAAGTCAATTTCTAAATATTTTTTTTCGCTACCACCAACGCTGTGGCATGCCACAAGAAATGCTGGTAAAAATTTGAAAATAAAAATTGTCTTTAGAGATTGAGAGAGGGGGTTTTGAGAAGAGTGAGGATAGAAATGAGTTCAAAATTTATATAAGTGCATCACCACACGAACACACGCACGTAAATATTTACATATAAAACCTCAATATGTTAGCTTGCAAACACTTTCAGGCACAAACACATACGCATAAATAGACATTTTAATGAAGAAAATTAATGTAATCGCTCTGCACAGTCGCTGGCGGTGTAAGAGACAATTTTTGCTCAAAAATGCTTGCAGAGAAGCATACATTTGCTTGATGAAATATGAGCGCATTGTTTTTGTTAAGAATATTAGACAGCATAGTAGATATGTGTGCGTACGTATAACAGCCAAACAAAGTAAACACATCATACTAAAATTAAAGAGCTTTTCCCTGGCACCTGAATGTACATATGTATAATAGGATACAGAAAAATATGTCGGAAGTCGCAAGTAAAAAAATTCTTTCTTGACAATGCTTTCATTTCGTATTTTTTACTTTAGTTCGCATACATACATATTTAACTCAAAGGTATAATATTTTTAATAATAATAAAATTATAATAGAAATGTTAAATAGAGGTTAGACAGGGCTGTGCTTAGGAGACAGAAATCTTATCCACTGGATTCTGAAATGTTTCTTTTTTGTCTGATAAATGCTTTTGTCAATTATGTTTATAAGGATATCCATTTAATGTACAGGATTATTCTAATTTAACTGTCAAACCAGAAGTATTTTGTTTAAGTTAAAAGTCAGGCATATATAAATATTCTTCGAAACACAACGCGCTAAAGTTGTTAAACTCTACCAAAAAAAAATGGTGATTTAAGCGTAGCTATGTTTCATGCTTTAAGAAGAGGTTTTGGTGCACATAATCGTCAAGCAACTGGCAAAAATTTGTTTAGACATTTGAAGAGACTGCGTCGGTTACAGAATATCGTAAGAGCTGTATATAATCGGTCTCCTCATTCCACTTGAAGTATCCCTATTGGAAGAGTAAGTGTAGCCGTGGATTGAGTGATTGTGTCTATTTCTCGACGTTCCCCAGAGCTGGTGCTTTCTCAAGGCAAATTATGGCGAATTTTACACTTGGACTTACTCGTACACCTGCATCATAAGTATAGCTCACCCAACTACTAAAGCCAGGTGGCCACTCAGAGTGTTGTACATGCGTCTATTGGGTGCTTGAAGAGTAAACCGTGAACTTCTATTTTTCGAAAAAATATTTCTTCAGGCGACGAGACACATTTCTCACTAGAGGAAAACGTAAATAAGCAAGTGCCTTAAAAAAACGTATCATCTTGTGCGCTCTTTGGTCAGCAAGTGTGGTTGAATCTTACTTTTTCAAAAACCACAACGATGAGACTGTCAATTTGGGGGTTTATGGTCGTCTAATAACCGAATTTTTGGCCTGCAATTTGAGAACACGACTTGAACAATTTGTGTCCTCAGCGACATCGTGACAAACGCCACAAACACCTGCAACTACGGCTTTATTGCGCGACGATTTTACACCGTTCGCCTCTTTTGTTGTGGTACTACGCGAAGAACCGTGTTTATGCGTGTAAATCTTGAGCTCTTTAGCACTTGAAAACCAACATTCGTCATGTTGTGGCTAAGATACGCCTAATATTTGCCAAAAAGTGATCGAAAGCTACTTAAAAATACCAACAAACTTTCAGCAAGCGGAATGAGTATTCTACATATAACGCCAAAACTCAAACTTAATATTAAAATATTAACCAACAGAAAAAGCCGACTGCCGACTAATTCAAATACTTTGATGAGGATTTCGTATAAGCTTTTCCGTCAATTTTTGGTATAGACCTAGAAGTTTTTCCAACAAATAGAGAGACCTACAGTTCTCTTAGTATTCTAAGCCTCTCAACGGCTGAGGTGATTTTTGTTTAATGTCAGAAATACACACGGTGGACTTTATATTCCCTGCCGGGGGCTATTGAAATTCGAAAAACTAATATTCAATAATTTATTTTCGTCCGGACTCCCGGCTAGCCTATGGCCCACTGGGTTTATTAAATGTCCCCCTGTTAGTTTATCTCCTAGATTTTAGCTTTCGAAAAAGTCAGCCCACCATCCGGCCATAAAATCAGCAATAATATATCATGTATATAATAACAATGATCTGGAAGCTCTCACTCTCGCTTACCTTCCATTAGGCTTTGTGCCACCAAAGGCTTGTTTTCTCAACAGGCATTACGTCAACCGGGTATGGGAGAGAGAGAGTGAGCCACTGAGCGACGGCACCGTTGCAGCTGTGCGTACACGTATATTAACGTCTCTAAGGCAGCGATGTATTCCATGCTGCGACAATGGATACAGACGAAATTTACTAGCGACTTTTGGAGATATAATTGTGAACACATCTATTTATCGCAAATATTTATTATAATTTATATATATTTATATGAATATGTAATTGGCAGATCATAAACTTTTCTAATTTTATTTCATTGCTCACTTCAAAGAAAATTTTTGCTGTCGCTAATATTTTTAACTTTAATTCAAACAAAAACAAATTGATCTGTATAGATACACTTCACAGTTGACACCACAAGACGATTTGCAAATTTACGCTGTAGCAGGAGCAGCAGAACTTGTAGTAGCAGCAGTACTAACTGTCGACACGGTGCTAGAGGGAGTGGCACCTGTGCTGGAACTGGGCAAACCATCAACAAAGCAAGCATATAATTTCTTATAAGTCTCAGAAGTCTGCAAAATATAATTGTTTTGAGCGTTATTAGTGCAGGAGTTTTCAACATTTTTAATTTGTTCCAGGCCACCCTTCAAAGCAATGGCAGCATTCGAGGCGCTATCCGAGAGGGTGTAGACTTCCAAAATATCAGCGGAGGACTGGTGGAGTGAGGAATATTATTAGAGTTAAGTGAAAAAAAAAATATCGAAATAACTTACAGCTGTAGCGTAACAGTTGAAGAAGTCCAACGTGTCATTGTCACTGTTACAGGCGGTGAAGGAGTTACAAATGGCATCGGTTTCATTCACAAGTGACAGGCGACTCTGGGCAGCGCTGGCAGTTAGATTAGCAGTCGCTTTCGTGGCAACACTAACACACTGTTCATATTGCACGGAGAAATTGGTCGAGAGCTGATTCAAGATTGGCATATAGTAGTTGAAACACTCCGTGGTGATTTCAGGATCAGCAGAGCCGCCCAAAGCATTCGCTTCGGCCAACATATTGAGTACACCATTGTCAGCGTTGATTTTGGCTACGGGTGCCAGTGGTGTGGCCTGTTGAGTTGGAATTGTGTTAAAATATATTTTTTAATATTTTTGAAATGTTATATTTCATACATACCACAGTGGCGCCAATAAGTGCCAGGCAGAGAATGGTTAAAGAAGTGTTTGGCATCATTTTGTGTGCAGAGGTCGTTTGTCTTTTCGGCTAATACTCTACTAATGAGCTGTTGCAAGTTGAAACTTGCTTTTTATATTAAATCCCGTGGCATTGAAAGTAATTGGCAAATTTTGCAAATCCTTGTTTTTGCTTTTTTTTTGTGTGATTGAGTGGTTTTATGGTCTATTATCTATTCAAATTACAAATTTCGGTACCAAAATTCACCGAATGGTGAGTCAAAGTCGTTAAACGAGTCAGCAAAAAACATGTGACAACTGGCGAAAAAAATTTGTAAATTTAAAATTTTGTTGTATATATAATATGTATGTAATAAAAAAAAGTGACAACTCGCGAAAAAAATTTGTAAATTTAAAATTTTATAGTATATATAATATGTAAGTAATAAAAAAATTGACAAAATTAAAAACTCAAAAATAAAGCTAAAAATATTTACTTAAATAAAAAATAAGTATTTCACTTCCGGAGATTTTCTTTCATATTTCTAAAAAAAAAAAAAAAAAACAATTGAAAATGTATTAGTTGTTGTTTGCATTTTAAAATTATTGAAAATTGCAATGTAATTATATGACATATCATTGTATCGAACTATTTTTTTTTTTTTTTGCTGTTTCACTACACGTATCAGATGCCGCCGAATTTCTCTTATCGCAATAACATAATTGGAAGCATGTGAACAAATGATGAGTCACTGATAATAATAATATTCTTTTTTTTTATTATAATTTTTTTTTTTTTCGCCAAAAGACAGAACTCATAAATTCTCAATTTTGAACAAATATTTAGAATTTGCTTATTATTATGCTTTCAATTAATTCTTAATGATTTTGGTGTTTTTTACGTAAAAATCATTAAACCGGTTGGACCAAGGCTGCATCGTAATGATAAATTTCACCTTTGTTATTAAAGAAATCAAGCGATTCGATTGAATTATTTGGAAATATTAAGTCAGTTATCAAATTACATTTTATTTCGTTTTTACCTAAAATTAAAAGCTGTCGTTAATGCTAAATCGTTAACAGATAATGTTAATGTTAAAATTAAACTGTGCTGTTAAAATCATAGCAGACAGCTCTGTTACTGGTAAATCGTTAACAGATAATTTAATGTTTAGCTTATTTGTGATATTAACAAAATGAAATCGCATCGTTTCGTTGGTTGAGCATATCTGGGTTGGACCAAGCTTAAGGAAATTTATTATACTTTCAAGTAGATTCGGTATTATTCAGTATCAATATTTATTTCTTCCCGCGAAGTGGGCCAGATACCAACATATTCGAAAACATATTTTACACATTTTAAGCAATTTTTTTTAAAGATTTTTTTTTTGGTGTCTCAAGGTGGATTCTAAATTAATTTAGTTTAACTTTTTTGCCAAAAAGGGAATTATGGCCCTAACTTTTCGAAAAAATGTTACATTTTTTATAACTCTACTCAAATCAGGACAGTTGGCTAAGAGATGGGTGGTCGTTTCCTCTTCCCCCTCGCACCATCTGCAGCGTTTTCTGAACCGAGCCTCTAGTCTTTCCGCGTGTCGTCCTAACAGACAGTAGACTGTCAAAGCTTTCCTTTTTTCAGGAGTAAATACGTCGGCACAAACTTTTTTTAAATTAACTTGCACCTTCTCTATTTACAAAATTTGTCATATGCTTAAACAGAAATTAAGTCAATTGTATTAGTGCAAATTGCGTGGAATTAAAAAATTTTGCCACTTGATACGTGCTTAACATGGAAAGTGTGCCTGAAAGTGTTGGCGATAATTATCGAGAGCTTGGCGAATTTCAAACTGGAAACTTATATAGAAATTTAATATGTAAAAGAGTAAAAATTTACTCGAAAATTAAAAAAGAATCCAAATTCATTATTTTACTACTTGTAAAAAAGAGAGCATTTCACATTTAGCTTCCTATTTCCAGCCATTTTCAATTAAATTTTTATTTTAATTTGTAAACAGCAAAATAATAAAAAATTAAAAAAACAGTTAATATTTTGGCTGTTTGAATAGTTATAATTCTTTCGTTTACATTTTTGGAAATTCTTCTTTTCCAGAGAGTATAATTTCTTACGCTCTTTTAATTCATTGATGGCTGTTGATGGCTCATTTTTAGTTCGAACAGACCTAATGTTCGATAAGAATTCCAAAATAACAAGAAAGAATTATTAACAAAAAAAAGCTAAACAAGAGCTATTATTACTATAAAAAAAAATGAGCATTAGAAAAAAGAAATAAAAAACCAATTATTCACATTTCCAACAAATTATCTTCTTGAGCACGTAATTTGCTTATAGCTTTCTTTGATAAAGTGAAAATCATTAAGGAAAATAAAAAAAAATGTCAACATATTTTATAATTTATATGTGAAATGGCTTTACACATCAACCAGATAACACGCTTGAGCAAAATATTTTGAAATTTGTCTATTGAATACTTTTACAGTAAGCGAAAGGCAAACGTAGTGACCGAAATGCATACCATCGCTCTCATTATTATTTCCCTGGCATTTATTGGCACCGCATATGTAAAAAGAAAAAGAAAAACATTATACATATAAGAACACACAAAACAGAACTACAGTGAAATTTATAAAATATAGTTTTTTTCTTTATTTGCCAGGCTGTACTGCCCTTCCCCATAGCAAAAGCTGAGGCTGATGAGGATATTTTCATTTTGGTCTCAGCGAACAAAGTCTTTGGTGACGCTGCTAATCTTAGCATGACATCGTCATGTTTCAATCATTATATGCCAATACTAAAACAAATTTCAGTTAATTTTTCTGAGCAATATGTGCAATGTGTTGATGTCGCCACCAAAACTATGGCTAATCTCAATGCAACAGCTGTTCAACAACGCGCGGCACTGGTTAATGAGACGACGAGTTTGTGCAGCGCTTTAACTGTGTGCAATAATTATGGGAGCATGCTGGACTTTTTAGAATGCTATGGTGTGGCTGTAAGTATCATAAATATAATTTTAATATTTTTACGTAATTTATTAAAATATTTTTATTTTTTTTAAATAGCTATCCGCTGATATAAATATTAGCAACAATTTGTCGTTCAACGCGTCTACTGCAGCTATTACTTTGAAAAGTGGTTTGACAAAAGTTGCAGACCAAAAGAAAACGTGCACAAATGACGCACAACTTAGCTATAATACGAAAACTTTAAAAACTTTTGAAGAATTGAATGCCTGCTTGGCCAATGGACTGTCGACTGCTGTTGCAATTGCATGAAGCTCTACTGAAGCCTAAGCTGTGCATGGATGTTGTAGAATTATTAAACAAGTTAGCTTAGTTAAAGCAGTAATCTGTGGAAAATAAGTTGATTTGATTTGATTTGAAGAGCCACAAAGTGAATTCAAGAATTTTAGCTAATTTCATCAAAAATATTTTATTTTTTTTTTTTCAATTTAATTTTTAATTCTCCAAATGATGCTTATCTGATAATAATGATGTAAAATAATGACTAAAGCAAGCATGAAATATCGTTTTGAAGTAATTTTTTTTGTAATAATTTGTTGGTTTTTTCTTTACTAAAGCGTATTAGTGAAATTCTTTGCACAAGCAATTCAAGCAATAATTGATCGGTTTAGCATGACTTTTACTTTAGTGAATAATGCTTAATGAGTATCAGAGAAAAACCCGTTGAGTCTCTCCGCCAATGCACCTATCCACTTTATAAATGATTTTGAGCAAAAATTGAAATCGAACGACCATCAAGCGCGTTATAAGTACGGTCCCAAAACCAGATGGCCTCCGATACTTATTTTCCCAAAAAAAAACAACAAAATGATACCTTGAATGGAGAATGCTTTCGAGCTATGATTGATTAGTGACTTTTTCGGGTCTGAGTTGATATTTATTGATATGGACAACATTTTTTCCAATAAGACACCGCTAAATGCCTTTTAAAGAGAACTTTGCGAAGAGAGCATGCGCTTACCTGACGTGGGCCTATAGCGAGGCCTCCAAGTTCGGGCGATTTCGTTTAGTTATGTGAAGTGGCTATTCTGTGCAAATAAGCCCAAGCCATTTGAAGTTTTGGAAGTGAATATTCGGTGCGTTTTTGCATTAGTATCCGTGAAAGCCGATTGGTTAGCATTTGTACTGAAATTCTGAGAGGCAGACTACGAGTATTGGTTCAATCAATCCTAAGATCAAAGGAAATTAATTACAAAAAAAATAAAATTAAATTGCCTAACTACGGTCGCTTCCCGGCAGGAAATTTTATGACATAAATTCAAGGCTCCACATAAAAATCCATCAGCTCTTCGGAGGCGACTTAGTTTAAGCTCGAGGTCCCTCAATTTGCTAGAATCATTTCAGCGGTAAAAATTTGCGGTAGAAATTGAATCGAGCCAGCTGCAGCGGTCACTTGCCCTATAGGATTAGGACAATCAGTCAATGATGAACACTTTTAGTTTCGCTGATCTTATTCCGGCAATCTTGATGTAAAAAATGATACACGGTATGGAAAGTTAATTGTCGAAGATGTCGATAAAATAATGGAAATCGTCGAGCCTGACAATCAAGCGAGTACTACTTCGTTTGTCCAAGAGCTAAGCATTGCATAAGATTCAGTTTGGAACCCCAAAGAAGCTGGATGTAAGTGTGGCATATTGTTTAACGTGAAAAACGCTAATACATCAAATTTCTATCTATCAATCGCTGTTTAAGCATATTAAAAACGCATCATTTCCGAAGCGAATAGCGACTTACATCAATGTCATGCTCGCAGGACGGGAGCCGGTACAAACGGACGCCGAGCCAGCATTTACGAGCAGAAAGGTTTTGTTGTGTGTTTGTTGGGTTTGGCAAGGAATCATCCACTATGAGCTGTGACCCTACAGCTAAACTCTTAATTCGGATCTACATATACTGTCAGCGATTGAACAGTCTAAAGGAAGCAATCACCCAAAAGCGAACAGCTTAGGCTAACTGGAGGAGCATTATATTTTATTACAACAACGCCAGACCACGCACATCGACAGTGACTCGCCAGAAGCTCCATGAGCTTGGCTGGAAAATTCTTATGCACCGACCTTCTCGTCCGAACCTCTCGCGAAGTGATTGCCTGATGTTTCCGTCTATGAAGAATGATTGGGTGAAAAAAACGCCTCAAGAGCTACTTCCGACTACTACTCTAGCCGGTTCAAACCTAATGAGCGCTTAATGTTCCAGTACATCTTTGCGCCACATTTGGTTGGAATATCTCAAATTGACATACAAACAGAAATACAAACGGTCATGGATAAATTAACCCAACTTGTTGTATTGCTAAATAAAATCAATATATCATTTTATATACAAACTATATGAAATTTAAAAAAAAAAGATAACCAAAAATATTTAACTTCCGTCAAAAAAAGCTTCAAATTTATTGTGATTTAATTTGTGTATTTACATAAACATCAATTATCTATTGACAAATTTACTTCAACAACTAAATGACCAAAGATGGCACTTGATTTACAGAAAAAGTATTATAATCAGTATTCGTCAGCAAATTGCTCCGAATGGACACTTCTGGCTTAATTCATCAAAGGCAATTTTCTGGAATGCCTTCAACTTCATAGTCAGCTATGTGTTTAAATGACTCACATACAAGGAATACCCTGTACTATTTGCAAACAAGCCAGAAGCATTTAAGTTGTCAAAGTCTTTTAGCATTAATTGATTATAATTAAAGCCAGATACTACATGCCAGTAAGTATGAATGTGCAAAACAGCTAATTTTGAAGGCAAATAAAAATAGCTATAAATTTGTTCGGTATATAAAGAAAAATTATGATTTCAACTGCTCAAACAATTTAAAGTAAGTGTAGCAAGTAAAGAAACTTTTGGTCAAAATGCAAAGTCTTGCCTTCACAACTTTATTTACGGCAATTATTGCCAACACAGTGGTATAAAAACAAAAAATATATATATATATATACTCTTGTACATGCGACATAAATAATATTTATTAAATTTCTAATTTTTCAGGCTGTACCACTTTCCGCTTCAGATAAAGCCACAGCTGACAACGGTATACTCAACTTGCTGGTACAAACGAATGCTTTGGGTGGCAACGCTAATTCTGAAATCACTACAGAATGCTTCAACTACTATATGCCAATTTTAAATCAAATTTCCTTGAACTTCTCCGTGCAATATGAGCAATGTATAGGCATTGCCGACCAAGCAGCTGCTAGACTCTCCTCAACAGCTGCTAAACATCGAGCAAGATATGTGAATGAGACTGCCGCTACGTGCAATACCTTCACTTTATGTAATAGTAAGCGTGACACCTTAGATTTCTTCAATTGCTACGCTACTGCTGTAAGTGTTTTGCCATACGCCAATGCTTTTTGTATATATTAAATTAAGTTTTTTATTCTTCTCCAGGCCACCGCTGATATTAATAAGTTTAACAATCTCTCGGATAATGCCTCAAATGTCGCTATATCGTTGAAAACTGGTTTGCAACAAATTGAGTTTGCTAAAGATATTTGCACAAGTGGGGCTCAGCACACCTATACAATGAGAACTTCAGAAAATTATAAAGAATTATATGCCTGTTTTGCTAATGGATTGCCCAAGACGAGTACTCCAAGCACTAATTTTGCAGTTAATTAAATATTTTTTTATTAAAAACGAAAAATTAAATTCATAAAATTAACATATCTAATACTCATTGGAGGAACCATATGTAGATAGTTTTGTAAAGTAAATTATGAAATAAACTTTTTATACTTCGAACTAATGCATAATGCAGTTTTCAGATATTATTCTAATCTAAGCAATCACAGTCGTGGCCAGAAAAATTGTACAATGTCAATTTGTAGGTAGCTATTTATATCTAATATTTAGTCTTCTCATATTGTTTTACGCATAAAAATATGCAACACTATTTAATTACTTCAACCACACGTCCACGCATAGAAGCACATACACACATAAACATAAGCACCAATACGTAATTAAATTATTAATTGATAATTTTGTCAATATTAACGATACAAATGAATTAAAAGTGCAGTAACTTTTTTTTTTTTCAATATAATTTTATTATGACTGGACCAAATCAGCCCTGAAAAATATTTAGTGTGCCAGAACAAAATATAAGTACTGTCTCTCTCCCATCCATCGGTTACCCTTTTTTATACGAAATAAATTTGGATTTTTGGTTAAATTTTTTTTTTAATATTCTTAATGTGCTCTAAAAACTCATGAGGATAATAGCCGTAGAGAGCCTCTAAACCTCTCAAAAGTAGAGAGATCGCCTATTTACATCAACAGTTGATTTGCCCTTCTGTTTTTATATTCATTTCTATATATGCATATATATTTCTATATATGTATATATATATACGTCCTCCATCTTTTATATCGGTATGAATAACTTTGAGAAAAAACTACTGATTTCTATAAGGGTTGCATTTTTTTAGTTTGGTTCCTTACAATTTTTTTGATCTTGCTTTTAAAAACAATATCAATCAAGTGGCTACCTTTATTAGCAATTACAAAATAACTCTTTCCGATCATCCCGGGTGTTATAGCTTCGATTTCAGCACGAATGCTTGCCTTGAGCTCATCAATGGTTTGAGACTAAACCTTGCTTTTCAGATAACTCTACAAAAATAAGTCCGAGGGTTTAAATCAAATAAAATAAAAAAGATTTTCTAGTGTAATTTGCAGTCATGTTATAATATATCATATGATACATGTGATCTTAATAGGGGTGATGCAAAATTTTATGAGTTTAAACGGAATGAAAACATCAATTTAAATGAATATTTAACATAATGCAATCAATTACAAGTAAAATAAAAATTTTAATTATGATTTGAAGTCATGTGATGAGATATCATGTGATACATGATCATGTGATCTTAACAGGGGTGATGCAAATTTTTATGAATCTGAACAGAATGAAAACATCAATTTATATGAATATATCAATTAAAAATAATGTAAAATTGTAAGACTAATTTCGCTGGGATTTGATTCTCCTATTTTGTGCATGTGATCAATAGGGTGTCAAAAATTATCATCAAATCCCATTTTTGGAACTTAGATATCCTACATGTAGAATTTGCGAAATTGGTGTAGTTGAAAATTTTTGTTAATACAATTTATATAAGGCTGTAATAAAAATATCAGCATATATGAGCTAACAATTTTTTTATCCATCATAGGAGTGCGCATCACACCTGCCAAACTCACGTGATATCATATCACATAAAGTCATATCATATAAACAACAATTTTTTTCCGATATTTTTTATATTTCGCTTGCATTTGTTATATGTACTTACTCGTATATGCGTACGTTAAGTTAAAAATCAATCTTAATCAGATTGTAAGTTTAAAGAAGAAAGAAATTTTACATAACCAGATGTTCACCTTGAAGTAGCAGGTATTTATAGAAACAATTGTATACATTATATTTTTGAGTTTTATTTTGTATCGTATGACTTCGGATAATATCACATGATCACATATTACATGAATTAAGATTACCTGTACTACAAATTTTGATATGATTTCAATTCATAGATTCATAGGTGTGTCATATGCTACTTAAATTTTAGTAATATAAATATTTGCAGGGATTTAGGCAAAATTTTATACAAAATCTATTTTAGTTACATTTTAGATGTTGAAATTATAACACTTTCTTCCGTACGACGTACGTGCTCTCACATCACGTGACTGCCGATCTACATGAGCTATTTAATGGAATTATTCTACTCGTACTTTATAATTTCAATAAGCTAGTTTTCATAAAAATGTTTTTAATTTTATTTATTATACATATATAAAAATTAGATTTGTATGATTTATTTGCTTACAAAACAAAAAAAGTATCTGTTATAATAAAGTAATTTTCAAGAAAGAAATTTGTTCAAATTTGCCACTAAATACTTATAAAGTCTAAGCAATAATTAATTTGTTACTAACGTTATCTTCGTTTCCATCAACTGACTGATAAACTACAAAATGTTCGAAATTGCTTCGTTTACCTTAAATACAACTTAAAATTGATAAATATATTACTGCGGTACTTGAAATCTAAAAATACGCTAACAGTAAATAATCACAAATTAAATTTCACGACCAACTTCTCACAACATGTATTGATTCCAAATCTACCGCCACTATCTACTTCCTTTGAGTCACCAAGTGGAATAGGAAGTTGAAAAAACCCTAAACGGTATTGCAAAACAAATAAACACATGCTTGTGCATTTAAGTCTAATTAATGAAGTTTAAGTGACAATCGTTGATAAAAAAATCTTCACACACTCTTTGGCATACACCAAATGTGACCAATTATATTAAATTAAAATGTCGCGGAGGTAAAGGCAGACCAAGTACCTGCCGATAAGGTAAGGTGAAAGTACTTGACGAAATCGATTCAGTTCTAAGAACTCTTAACATTAAGTACTAATTTTAGTATATGTTTTGAGAAATATTCTTAGAAATGTTTAATATCGATACTAATAACTAATACTAATTAGAATGTACTTCTATACACATATATATATATATGTGAGTGAAATGATAGATTAGGTTGAACCAGCTTTCGGATATCGGTTCACTTATTCATAAAGGGTTTCAAGTCCTTCCTTCTCCCACGAACTCCTTAAAAAGTCGTTTCATGTTTTGATTAGCCTCCCTCTGTGCCTGTCTGGCAGACGTCCTGATAGCAGACCTCTAATTTTGGATATCTCCTCTTTTTTTTTTTAGAAAGATGAACTCTATCCGACCTTCTTTTATACCATGTCAGCCTGGTGTCATTGGAGGAATTGAAAACTTTCATCTTGAGCTAGCATCTGCTATGAATAAATTTCTTTTGCTGAGCTTTTAGGTGGAAAGTGGTATGCCCAGACTTCTTCAGTGGACGTTTATTGATTTGCGGCAGATCTCTACCGATTATGATTTATAGTGCCAGTTTACAGAGCTCTTAGCTCTAACCGGCTATCTAAGAAGGCATAGATGCAATTGATCGAGAGTAGCGTCAATTCTACTTGGAAAATACTACAGAGATCCCCCAGCCGAAAGGACTATATAATTCCAAAGTTTCTTTGTGTAGAGTCCCTTACAAAATCTATGGTACATTTATATATATGTATATATATATACTTATATTTGATGAAACAATTCTGTCTGATGATGCCCAAGGAATCTCTTAATATATTGGTATGCCCGCGGAGTTATCACCTTCCATTGAGACACCTTCCGTAGCCTGATATGTAAATATATACAATTGGCACTTTATAAACGCTTAAGCGATTCTCAGCCGAGCTCCTTCTAATCATGTTTGTGGTTTAGCGTCTTGATGTTTTCCAACAAATTAAGGAACCTTCAGTATATTTTAAGCTGCCTCCGAACGGTCGATAGACTTTTATGAAAAGATTCTTATTTCATATCAGAAATACAATCGGTGGGATTGCCATTCCCTGCCGGGTAGCGAACTTAATAGAAAAACTAATTTTCCACAATGAAATATCAGTCGAACCAGCCCTTCAGAATAGCAATACGCAATTCTAAACACTCCTAAAGGCAAGTGAATCCAAGGGGATATTCGTCCCCTCAGTTGGTAGAATTTACAGATGGCTAATTTCCGCTCGAGCCTTCTTCAGAAAGAAGTGTAGGCCTAACAACCGCAATGCAAAGCCAGTGCACTACCTTGTGGGGCATTTCCACCAACCGAGCGGCCACATAGATTATGGTTCTGCATACTTCCTCCTCGCCTGTGAGTCTTGGCAATAAACCAATTGTGAAAGAGCTCCACTTTAATAATTAACACTAAACTAAAAGCCCATTCAATAGGGTTGCCAAGTATACTGAAACAGTGTAGTGGAAAATAATGGTAAATAAACCAATTGTTTTATATTTACATTTTAAAATAAGCAACAAAATTTTTTTTGCTTTAGTTTTATTCAGCTGTCTCAGACCATATGTTTTTTGGAAATCGTAAAAAAATTACAACAACATTTTTCGGTGGTAGAAGTATAGCTGCTATTTCGGACACCACTACGCACATCTTTGCTCGAATTGGATTCGAACTTGGAATGACCACAGCACGAGTCAATGGTTATCCTATTCAGCCAAAAGTGTGCCGCTTTCAGGCAAATGTTTAAAAATAAACATTTAAAAAATTTAGCAAAATAAATCAATTACAAAATTTTCAATGAAAGCGAAGATACTTTCATGTTTTAATGAAAAACGTGTTTCCACGCACTTAAAAATTGTATGCAAAAATTTTAAGAGATTTATTGACTTAAAGACATTAAAATTAGCCTAACAAGGAGTTCAGCAAAGCATTTATTGCATGGTTGCCATCTGCCTGCAATACAATACAAGGCAGGGCTACCAAAACCATGCCAAATTACCTTTAAATTAGTATTCAACGAAAAGTTCAAAATTACATTATACAGCGTTGCCAGACATCACAAATTATTAACGGATCTATAACGAAAGCTTTGTGGAGGTTTAGGGGTTGAAAGGCAGAATTATGCTCAAATTTAAACTTAAAATAACTGTTTTGTGATAATAACGACAGTATGTTTTTGAACAGAGTTGCCAAATATTTCAGGCATAAATATATCAGGTATATTGGTAAAACACTATCTAAACAATTATAATTTTAATTTTGTATGAAACCAAGTAGAATAATTTATATTCAAAAAAAGCCCGGTAGACGATCTATGATAAAAAATCTGAAAATGCTTCATTCAGCACTATATCTACCACATTTACAACTTTTATATTGCATGAGATACAATTTCTTAGAAAAATACTTTCCATCTAAATCAGTGAAGGAAATTATAAAATGTTATAAAAATCACAAATATACACATACCTTCACTGCAGTGCTGTTCTTTAACTAAATTTTTATAGACATAGACATAATTGCGGAAACAAAAAAGAAAAAAAAATGTAACAATAAACAAAAAAATCTATGACAACTACTCGAAATACGCAATTCAAATACCAACAATATTTAGCAAATACTCATAAATGATAGCATCTAAGTGACTACATATGTATGTATGTACGTATGAACGTTTATCAAAAGCCATAGCGGCAAGTGAGGGCAGATGATTATGATATGAACGTATCTACATATGTTTGTACATATGTAAGCAATTATGTGGTGGCACAATACTCGATGTACTAAGATAAGAAAACTCTTAAAGAAAGAGACGCAGTAGGCTATGGCAAGCGAATAATATAAAATCACGGCGTTAGTCTGGACACTCAGTCAAAAACACATCACAGCAACAGTAAGAGCAACAGCAAAGCTAAGGCAGTGATATTTATTTTAAAAATTTTTTAAAGTGTATCAAGAAAAGCGTGAATTTGAAATTGGTGTGAAAATTTGTGCATAAATATATTAATAAACAAAAATATAATAAAATGTTCAAATTCCTTTTGTGTATTCTGAGTGCAGTGTTGGTTGCGGAGGTTAGTAAATACCGAACAAGGGAATTATATTTCAACAAAAACACATATTTATGGCCTTTTTAGAAAAACGGCTTTTCAAGGTCTAGATTAAATGAAATTTAACCGCTTTTATTTAGAAAAAAAATATTCTTTTTGAAATGAATAAAAATAAAATGTCAAATAAATTAATTTTATTTATTATATTTATTTATAAATTTGAAATCATAATTAAAATCCATATTTTATGTTACAAAAATAATTTATTTGAACTTAACTAATTAAAATACATACTTTAGTTGCTTCATTAAAAAAACTTATTTATATATTTTTTGCAAATATTAATATTTTTTTGCCGTTTAGAAGTTGCAGAAAAATGTGCCATTATTTCTTTAAAGTTTTTGATATTTTTTAATATTAAAACTTAACGTTTATTGCAAAATATTATTTGTTTTTAGTTTGTTCTGTAATTATTGAATTAAATTTTTTGTTTGCATAATTCATTAACATAACACATATTTTTCTTTACTAAAAAATTATGCTTCGAAACCTTTTAATTAAACAATAAATTTTAAAAGACAAATTTTAAAATTTTTTCGATTGTTTTTATTTATGATTACAAACTAACATAAACTTTTTTAAACCAAAAAGTAAGAATTATATTGAAGTAAGTAAGAATAAATTTTTTCAATATAAAAGGCATCGTCGCACAGATGTCAAGGTTGGATAGTGGCAGAGGTTACAGTTAATTAGCTCTCCTCTTCCTTGACCCCACAGCTCCGGCATGAAGTCTCATTAAACAGTCAAACTGTTTAACATGCAAATGTAGCCAAACCACGGCCATTTTTTTATATTACATTATTTTATTTTATTTTATTTTATTTTATTTTATTTTATTTTATTTTATTTTATTTTATTTTATTTTATTTTATTAATTCCTTTTTTTATTTGTATCTTTTCCTTCATTTATTTAATTTCTCTCCTTTCTTCACACACAGTGCAAACTAGTTCCACACATAGCAGCACGTGCCGATCTATCTTTGAGTAATTTCTTGCTCTCCCAGCAGGGTCGTGCCCTTTCTCCCTCATCATCGCAATGTTTTTCCAGCTATTTGGCACTACTGGCTGCAGCTGCCGATAGATGGTCACAAGAACATGAGGCTTGTGTGAAAGCTGCAGAAGATTCTATGATTGCTGTTAACGACTTGGCATCCGCCCATTCCAAAAATGTATCCACACAGGCTGGCAGTATTGTTAGTTATATAGGTTACTGCGATTCGGAGAGTGATCCGTTGTTATCTTTGGGATGTTACAAGAATTTGGTTAGTGGCTGGAACTATTTTTTATTATGTGTTCTTTCTTCATTTTTCGGTTTTTATATATATATCAATCTTATGGTTTAATTTTCTCCTCCAGACCACAGACAATTTGTACAAAATTTATGACATCTCTAGTAACGCCGCGGATGCACTCGTTTCACTGAATGCGAAAATATACATCATCGATTCGGATTCTTACAGTTGCTCAAATGCCAGCGAGCGTAATTACTTCGAAACATGTGCAGAAATTTATGATGCAATGAATTATTGCTTCCAAAATGGACCACCACCAACGGTGCCGCCACCGACCACCAGCACTACCACTTTGGACCCTGTGCTTCCGTCGGATGAAATTCGGGATATACTACTGCCAGCAGATGCTGCTGCGCCTCGTCGTACGCCCGCCTTATTTGCTGTAAAGAGCCAAGAGAAGGAGAATGAGAATAAGCCGGTGCCAAGAAGTGGTAGTCATATTTCAAAGCTCACTGCTTGGCTGGAGCGGCAAGGAAATCAGGACGCGGTTAAAGTGTAAAATGTGTGAAGAAAATACGATTTTATGCGATAATTGGTGCTAGGAAACGTTTTGGGAAAATAATAAAATGAATACTTATTTATATTAGAGCTCACAAAAATATTGGAATTTTTAATTTTTGATGTGAAAATAGTTCTTCAAATGAATTAGAGTAAAAACTGTTTTGAATCGATGAAGAAATTTTAAAGTTTATTGAAATGGCGAGAAGTAACTTAAGGGTTATTGGAAAACTTATTTGAGACATGTTAGCTCGTAATCTCTCAGAACGCGGCATTCTTTTTACTATTTGTTGACAAAAATAAAGAAGATATCCTTGAAAAATCGTTCTTAAATATTAACTCTTGGACAACCACAATGCTACGACTACACAGGTCCCAAGAACTGGCTTGATCTAATCGGACGTAGTCTTATAAGCAATGTAGTTGGCTTTCGATGAGTGTGACATCAAGCTAGGAGAGATATCCACACCTGATTTCGCAAAAATAGTCGAGTTATTTCGTATCTCTCTTAGTCGTGTCAAACTTCTGGCGTATGCCGATAACATTGATACGATATGCCTTAGGAGATATTCCATCTTGTCCGCTTTCGCTACAATACCCTTTTGAGAAACGGCGTGGTTGCATTGGTTCCGCCTTGTCGAGTGGATTTGGTAGTGAACGAGAGCAAAACAAAAAATCTCTTGTTATCAAACTAAGAGCCATCGTTTTCACGACTTGTCTACCACGCCACTAGTTACAGTCGAGTTCTTCCATAATAGTGCCATCAGCCTTCAAATCCAATGCAGAATAACTCTTTCCAACAGCTGCTACTTTTCACGGAGTAGGCAATTAAAAAGTCAAATGCTCTCTTGCCGAACGAAGACATAACTCTACAAGTCTCTCAACATTTCATTTCCTACTATATAATGCAGAAGCGTGGTCGATACCTATGTCCGATGTCTGATGAGTCGGCCTTCGGAGTTTTTGAGAGAAAAGTTTTGCGAACAATCTATTGTTCTTTGCGCATTACTAAGGGCGAATACTGCAAACTTTAGAATTAAAATGAATTGAATGCTGGTGGCTACGAATCCGCTTTTACTAGACAGTTTAGCCGGTAACTCTTTCGATCTAATTCTTCATTCGAATTGTCTACACTGAACACCTGTTGGCAGGCGTTAGTTTACGCTGAATTTCAAGACATTGCAGCAACGTCAGTCACTGGTTGTTGCAATAGCGGAGTGATTATCAGTGCAAACTATCTTGCTGCAAGTCATGTGATCGACATTCAAACTTGTAAACTATAGAAAATGAATTTACAAAATAACATCGTGACGATCACTGGTAAAATATCTGGAGAAAGATCAAGAGTAGTCTCTCAGAATATTTGTATTATTCGTTACACAGAAATCGACGAGATCGGGAACTTTATTCGGACCTGCCATACTGGTGATCTGAAAGAGAATGTTTTCAGGTGCATACAAAATAAGAGTAATATCTTTACGTCATCAATGCTGAGCAACTAATAGCTCTATACACACTTTCAGTTTCTTATTTGACAAGCTCATGCAAAAATTCAAGTTAAAAATACTTTTAGGAGTAAACTGCATTAATAAACACATAAAAATTATAATAAAACGTTAGCAAATTAATATGTTAATTTTTCCATGAAAGTTTATTTAGAAAGTACAGATAACAAAATTGACATTTTATAACAATTTCTTCACACAATGCTCGCTTAATTGTATGCAGATCTAGACAAACAATGAATTATAGCATAAAATATATTTTTTTATTAATAAAAATTAAAAAATATATAACGAAGACCTTAAAAATTATATACAAACTTATTTTTTTAAATGTCTGCATAGATTATATAAACAAATAAATGTTTATTATTGCAATATATAAACAATTCTAATAAATTAACTAAACAATTTAGCTTGCTTTTAGACATTTCGAAAGCTGCACAAATGCTTTAGCTGTCGCATTAATATATCTCTCTTCAGCAGCGATAGTACAAAATAAAATCTCCTTTTCAGCTTCTTGGTATTTATTTTCCAATTCCACAATTGCTGCTGATGAATTCAGATAGACATATTGTAGTGTGCTCATACCTTTGTAGGCCTGTATGGAATAAGTTTTAATTGTTTAACAAAATAATTATAAATATGAAGAAATTTAAATAAAAAAATAAGTATTTTTAACTTTCATAGTGAAACCTTACACATTTTATTTAATTTTATTTTATTTTAGTTTATTTTATTTTATTTTATTTTAATTTATTTTATTTTATTTTATTTTATTTTATTTTATTTTATTTTATTTTATTTTATTTTGTTTTATTTTAATTACTTTATTTTATTTCATTTTTGTTGGAAAAAGATCTACACTTAATATTTTCATGAATAAATAAAATTTATTTATCATTTTGTGTTAAATAAGAAAAGGATTTAAGCTAATGTATTTTAATTAATTGCTGTTACAAATGTATGTACCGTCTACGAGTATGGAAACTTACAGTTTCGATTACTTGATTTTTATTATATCATTAATTTATTAATACTTCTACCAATACATAAAATTCCTCTTATAATTATCCCATTATTTTTTTCATGTGTTTTTTTTCACGCGAATACAATATAAACAAACCACAGTTTAAATATCTCTGGTATCAAAATTGTGAATGAATAATTGTTTTCAATCAATCGCATAAAAAATAAATAAATAAACATAATTATTCTCCGATAAAGTGGCCAAAGCAATACATTCAGCTGATAACGAAGTCAATTCGCATTCGTATATTGAACCGTTAGAACTGCCGAAATCAAGCACACACATTTATGCATACGTGCATAGAGCCAGTTCAAAGGCGAATATTTTATCAATCGATTCTTTTTTTTTTTTTAATTTTTGTTCTAAATTTAACTTGGTAAGCAAGCACAACCAGAAATAATTTTTTCATTAATCTATCTGTCATATGGCAAGTGCCACAAGATATGTCCAACACGTGTAAACGTAAACCAAAGAAGACTAAAGATTTGTTGAAATTTTAACACTTCAGGAGTGTTTGAACTCATATGGAAGCGAAAGAAAAATTGTCATTTTTCATGTTGATAAAGGTGTTATCTTTATAAATTTGCCGATATTCATAATTGGCTTTTTGGATAATTACGAAAATTTTCAACAGAGCCCACAAAATTATTATTATTTCAATTTAAATTTTTTATTTAATGAAGTTTCATAATATTGGATTGAGAAACCGTTAATTAGATTTTATTCAAAACAAGAAAAATGGCAACGTTGCAAAGACATAATTTGAAGTGATTATTCGACCGAGCTCCTCTTACAATTTGTAGTTTAACATCTTGATGTTTTTGCAACAAATGGGACTAATACTAAGCTGCCTCAGAACGGCTGATGATTCTTTTATGAGGTGCCTTTATTTCATGTCATAAATACACTGTCGAGGGTCGTCCGCAATTAGATTTAATTTTAATTACAAGTTATAGTTTCCTATATATGAAAAAAGGCAATGCTATACTAAAACTATATATATATAGATTAATAAGATTTAGAACATATATGTCCTGTGATGCCTTTTAGCGACATATATGTGTTTTTAAAAAGGACTTTGTCAGCTGCAAATGGCATTAATTTTATTATTGCATAAATCACGATTTTTGAAAAAACTGAAATTGGCAAAATTAGTAGTAAGTCTATATGGTTTACAAACTAGTTTTCTAACTGTTACCTATTATATAATATAAGTAAGCTAGCATTTAATGAATACGAAAAAGGCCTAAATTCGTCACTTAATGTCTACGACATTCCTCATTAAATTAAATAATTATAAATTAGTCATGTTCTAAATTTCTTCATGTTTTTAAACTTCTTTATAATTTTTATAATAGATGAAAATTGGCAACATGGCACAATCATAGTAAGACATAGAATATATTATATATTATTATAAAAACTAAACCTAATTTTTACGAAGTTTCATTGCATTCTATATTAACGAGGTTTTGCTTATTCGAAAAATGGCAACGTGGTTACAACAAATTATAGCAAAGGCGAATTTGCAGACGGAAAAAAATAAAAAAGCGTCTTAGTTAAAAAGTAACAAGAAACTTTTCACATACTATTATTAAATTCTGATGTAACCCCGGCTGGGTTCGCTTTTAATTTAAAACTTCTCGCCGACATAACCTAAAAAAAAATCGCACACACAATGCTCTCGTATTCGTAATCACTTACATTCCTAGCACTGCACTGGAAAAATTCCAAATCACCATCAATCTCGGCACAATCACAAAAATTCTTACACATCTCGGTCACCTGCCCGACCATATCCTGTCGTGTAGAGCATTGCATTTGTGTAAATTCCATGCGTCTTTTACTACCCAACTCTCGACATGTTCGATATGCCGACGCATAGGTGTCGCTCGCATTTCGACTCTCCTGCATGTATGTCTCAAAACAATTATTTGCATCACGTAACACAGCCGCAACAGCATCACCTATGCTTTGGCCAGCACCCGCTACATCCTCGCTCGTCTCAAATGGCACAGCATGTACTGGTGTGTAACAGCAGTTGCTGATGGCCAACCGCAGTAAGTACAGCGACACTAACAGTTTTAACGGTGACAGTTGTTGAGTCATTGTTGATTGCTGAGACGAACACACACACATTCAAATATGCATGCCAGCAGGTATGTACGTACGTTTATTTTACAGCAGCTCACGTAGACAACAAGGAAGCGATTGTAATATGTGCAATTGTTGGCAAATTGCGTTGGTTGTTGTAATTGTTATAGTTGTTGTGGGTATCGAAATGCCCCCAATGCTCACACCATCAGCAGGCAACCGACAGGCCTACAAATATGTCCGTAGGAGCGTCGGCAATTTGGTTTATTTCACTCACAACTCAACTCACAATTGAATGTCATCTATTCAGCAGTTGACAAGCTTAGAAATAGACAGTCGTACCGTTAGACAGCCAGACAATAATAATTGTGGTGTACATTACATGAGCTAAGCAAAGTGACGACTAATTGTCATGGCGGTTGCCTGACGGTAGATAGTTAATCATAGTGTTTGGCGCGCTGGCAAATATGTACGTATGTATGCTTGTGAATGGTGGCACATGCCTTAAACTCTTATCACAAATTGAGTGGAAAAAGGGCCTCAAGGGGAAGGGGAAACCGATAGAATTAAAACAAAATTTAACGATTTAGAAAAGCAAGCGAAAGAAATACAATAAATGAGTTAACGGGTGTTTGTTTTATTATATAATAATCACTAGATAATGTTTAGTTTTCAATAATTAATTTTAGGACATTTTTACTTTTTAAACGAAAATGCTGTATAATTTTCCGTTTTAGAGTAATAATTTATTATTATTTGTAAAACTGAATTTATTTCAGAGCGAGCATCCTTTGCTTTTAAGCAAATTTGATAGCAAAGTCTGTTCATTTTCAAAGTAGCTTTAAGCCATTTAAAATTTTGTACAGCGGCAAGGAGGAGGATTGGGCTACAGGGAGGCATATTGAGGTGAGTACCTAAGGGGCGTAGGTTGAGAAGGGCAGGTAAGTACAACCCAGATTAAAAATATTTAATAAATAATTAAATTGGAGCTCATTTATTCAATATTTTTTTAATTTTATTTATTTATTTAATTTATTGTGTTTTATTTGATTTTAATTAGTTGTATGTAGTTTTGTGGTTAAGGAATCGATACCTCTAATCTGCACTGTAAGGTCCTAAACAGAAGTCCTAGAGGGCTAAGCTACAAAAAAGTGGTGAAAGAACTCGGCGCTAGATTTAAAATGGATCAGATGGTTAAAGCCTTATTTCCATGACTTCGTTTTACTACCAAAGTACTACAAAGAACAGATTGGAAGGAGCTATCGCAAGTAAGTTCAAGCGTAAAGAAAATCACCAGAACCAGAACCTGATATATAATAAAAAATCTTATGGCCGCATGGAAAAATTCAATAATCTCCAGAAGTTACCGACCGATTGAATTGAAATTTCCTCAGATGGTTTTTATGATTCCTGGAAAGGTTTACAAGAAGAAAAAAAATCGGGAAGTGGACCGGAGACTGAACAGGTTTCTTTTATGAATGATACGTGTGAAGGATTTTATGAAAAAAAATCTTTTAAGTGGACTAGGGTCTGAGCTATTCGAAAAAATCTTTTTAGGGTTCAACATACTTGAAATTTGGTACATCGGTAGCCTTTTGCTTCAATTGACAGAAAGGCTACTCTTCTCTCCGGAAAGCGTAACCAAAACCAAAAATTATGCATTCCCCAAGTAGTGAGTGAAAAATGTCATGATAAAAAGATATCAACACTGGGAGCAATAAAGAACGTAGTGAAAAGCATTGGAGAGGCTCAACAGGGTCGTCACAGATGAGCAGCGAAAACACAAGTTGACGTCAGGAGCAGCGTAGAGCTCTATCCTTGAGCTAGAACTCTGGAACGTCAGCTATGATGGCATATGAGACCTTTAGACGTCTGATAGCACATAACTTGTGGGATATACTGACACATTGGCGGGATAATTAGGGCGACTGGGAAATCGAGTCAACAGGGTGTGCCCAGACACCGCTCTCAGCGTGTCCCAGTGTTTGGCCTCTGAAGGGTTCGCCGAGTTGCAACAGCCGCCTCATTCGCCCGATATATCACCCTGTGCCTTTTTTGTTCCCTAGAGCAAAATCGGTGTTCAAAGAAACCCATTTTGACACACCTCGTAAACTGAAGCGTTCCCATTTGTGGTCGAGAAGAAAAGAAGATGAACGGCCTGATTAAAACCAGACGTCAGAGTATGTACAACTAGGAATTTTGAGGAAACAAAATACTATATTATACAGACGCTGTCCGGTCATGACAGCTTTAGAAAATAGCTGCATAAAAGAGAGATTTCTGAAGATCCGTCTTTTAACTATAAAAATGCCACCGAGAATGTTCAGCGTCATTCTCCATACAATCTTTATATCAGACTTGGAAACTCAGTTAAAGTATACTGTGTAAACGTAAAGAAGTTCACAGAAAAAGTACTACGAGCGAAACACCAATTTTATTTTATTTTTTATATTCTATATTATTTTATGTTCATTTATTTTATTTTATATAATTTTTTTATTTTATTTTATTGTGTTTTATATTATTTTATTTTATTTTATATCATTTTATTTTATTTTATTTTATTTTATTTTATTTTATTTTATTTTATTTTATTTTATTTTATTTTATTTTATTTTATTTTATTCAATTTTATTTAATACTTGAAAAAGCACAAGCATTTTATATTTATGATTGATAACACTAAATACTTCATTTATTATTTCATAATTATAGTCGTAAAAAATACTTATTGTAGTTCTAAGAAAAAGACTAAAAATTCAATACAACAATACAATGGACTAAATTTACAATAACTTCCTCCCACTTAACGTTTTACTTGTCAATTGAAATTGGTCTGCTTATAATTCCGAGTAAATCGTAAATACTTACATACATTGTTTAGAAATATGTGAAGTATGTGCTAACACACTCTCTATCTAAGTTTATTATCTCGCAATTAAATTGTCATCAATGGGGTAAGGAGTATTGTTGGGCTTATCAAAACACTAAATTCTAGTTCGCATTGAGAGCCTTTGCGCTCTGCATATCATTGTTAAGTACTTGGTGCGAAAACAATAGTTATTTACCCAAACACTTCATATATACATTTTTTAATGGAATTTAAATGTTTTCTTTTATTTAACTTAAGAAAATACACTGGTGAATATTTTGCAAGATGTACATTTTTCTTTCAAAATTCTTGTAGGCAATATCAAGAACTTTATTTGCGCTTGTTCCTTGACATCAGTGAGCGTGGGAGAGTGCATTATTGAGTCCTTGGGACTCAAAATGTGTATTTTTATCAGATTTTTCATGGAGACAGTTTACGTTTATCAATTACAAGAGTGGGTGGGGAGTGGTTCAAATAGTACACTCTTTTTGGAATGCAATTGCCATTGATGTTGTATGAATATTTATGTGAATCAAACCTATAGCCTCAAATAAAATCTGGTTGAAATCGTTGTTAAATGAACTCTAAAGTCGAACATTTCCTAGACTTCCGAGAAAATGTCTAAGTCCCTCTAATCTGGAGCATTGCACCTTTATTACCGTCTGTGATTCTTGTAGACAAGATATTCCCAAAACAGTAATTTGATTAAAACGTAGTTCAAAGCCGCTGAAAGCTGCGCAAAAGACAATATGCGCGCGTGCCTTTTGCTCAATACCTCCAAAGCTGAGACGTATCCAATGGATAGCGACCTGGTTTCATATGGTATTTCGAACGAAGCGTATGTCCTCCTTTTCCTATGCTTCTGCTAGCGGTTACTGCATCGAATACTTTCAAAGTGCTTTCGTCCGCAGCTTCAAAGTCGCCTTATATATCATACAGCTCATCGCTTCATCGTCTGCGGTATTCACCATTAACAACACGTAAAGTTAAACCTAAATATTTTATTCCTCACTAAACTCAATAGTGTAATTATAAACAAGTTTGATTACATATTGTATGTACATTTATGCATAAACGTCTAAATATATAAAGTTTTTACAATTGTGATAAGAAAATTTACTTTGGTCGCCTCGTTAAAGGTAAACACTACGAAGGTTTGTATGAGCATTCAAATATTTTTATGCATACTCGTTTTTTTTATTGTTTTTTTGATTGTTTTCTTTGAATGTTTTTTTTTTTTAGTTTATTTTTAATTTTTTTATATTTTTTTTGGTTTTTTTTTACGTAGATAAAGCAATGAGTAGAATTACTGATAAGCGTCACTGGAAAATCAAATACTCAATGAGTAATATTTGCTTGAGTATTTGTTTGGTATTCGAGCTTTTTATCGTATTGAGTGTTTTAATTTTATTTTAAATGACCATAGCGACATCTATTATTTTTGATTGTACTTTACATTGGGTTTTAAACTGCACTAAAAATTACTTTAGTATTGCTTTGATAAAAATGTTTAATTTTTTTTATTGTTTTTAATTAAATCAGATAAATGCTTAGAAAAAAATTTTCGAAATGTCTCCAAAACGCTCTTAAGCTTTTACATGCAACCAGTTTTTTAAAAATCAGTAAAGTAAAGTCTTACTTTTTTACTTTAGAGCATGAAAATAATATTATTTCCATGAAATATCAGAAAATACTATGAAAAGCCTTCACGTTTTTTGTGAATCATTTGGATCATACTTTTTTTTAATATTAATGCCATATTTTCACTTTATTTTGAAATATATATCGGATCATGTATCTCAAAAAACGTCATTTTTTTTTTTGAATATGCCCGAGGCAAATTCAAACACACGGTAGTAGCGAAAATACAAAAACAAAAATCCTGTGTATTTTGTATGTCTAAGCGTAGTTTCGAAATGTCAAAACCTAAAATTTTTCAATGTATTTTGTTTGTGTAATGGAAAGTTCGTAATGTCAAAGCCAATTTCTCATGTATTTTGTTTTTGCAATTTGGAAGGAAGAGCAAGCAATCATATGATCTGACAACTTCATCTTCCATAAATTCGCCTTGAATATGCCCTTTTTAGTAATGCTACAAGCTAGTTGAATGCCATTATCGAAGGTTTTCTTTTTTCAAGGAGCCGATTTTGAACGTAGAAATGAAAAATGGTCTGAGTATAGATTTTTATTCTTTCTTCTGAAAATATCTTTTTTGGCTACCCAAAATGTTTGTGGCCCAAGTAAAATATCGTAAGCTTCGAACAATTGAAGAAAAGTACAGCTGTATTTGAATTTATAATAAACTTTTTTTTTCATTGTACACATTTTGTACCACAACTACTATTACTACTCAAAAAACAACAGACTACTCAAAAAATAAACAAAAAAAAATATAATACATTTACATTATCTTTAATAATTACAACAGCTTCACCAGCAGTCTCAACGCATAAGAGTACTTCCTTGTCTGAGTACCTGGACACAGGGACATCGCAGGCAGTTGCATGGCAGACGAACTAGTAAGGGAAGGAACCCTTCCATCTACGCTAAAACACGCACATGATACTAGTTTACCTCTGTCCACGACTAAGTACATGCTTAAACTGGCCTTCACCAGGGAAGCTCACAATTGTTGAACGAGATTACGTGTAACGTTAACAGACAGCTATGGCCGCAGTCGCACGCGAAAAAATCTAAGCATCTTATCCTTCTGAACCGATACTCCATGAACATAACGACTGGTATTGTAATATAATAACTGAACACTGTTTAATGGGGCTTCACGGGATTAGGATTAGATTTTACTCCAACGATTTCTACCGCGTCTGTAGGGACGAAAAAGAGGAGGAGACCAACGAGCACTACCTCTGCCACTGCTCAGCCTTGACATCCGCGCGACCCAAGTTTCTTGGGAAACACTTCTTCGACTGTCTCGCTGAATTGGTTTTAGTGAACATTGGAAATCTCTTTCCATTTATAAGGCACACGAAATGGTTCGATTATTTGAAAAGGTTAAGGCAGGAGCCTCAGCTTATCACAATGGGCCTATTGAACTAAGCGTGCTGGGGTTGAGCAACAACCGCATCAACTCAACTCAACTCTCAATCACCACCGTTTTTACCAGTCCGATTAGAACGACAAGTTAAGTTGGCTTAGCCAAGTTCGGTCTGTTCCTCTGTATGTATGCAAACTAAGTCACCCAGTTTTTGCGATATTTCAACCGACATTGGTAAAAAGATAAATTTTCTGGTGTGTTAATCTATTCCTCTACTGTTACGTATACTCCTCATACAACCGATTTCTCAGATATCAAGTGGAGACAACAAGTCAAGCCAGTTTCTACCTCCAACTGCTGTTTCTGCTACCACCGGCTTTAAGCTCATCGAACGACATGACTTAGCTCACGTACACGCGGTCTCATGGTTCGCTGAGCTTTATCAATCGGGAACAGCTGATTCTTTGCAACGTCATATTTGCTGTCTAAAGGACTAAGAATCTCCCTAACGCCAACTCGTCAGCTGTTTTCATTATCTCCGCACCATTTACCAAGACATGAATGCTGAGTGGGTTGTAAAATTTGGTCTTAGTTCGTCGAAAGTGAAATTTTCGATTCGCGGACTTAATTAGTTCACAATAGCAGCTGTTAGGATGAATCATTCAACCTTGAATTTTCATGTTGACGTCGTAATTTTTGTGAGTGCTTGCGATTTTAAAAGTATGATCGTCATACAGAGATGTTAGGGCAAAGAAATTGCCTATTTATCTGATAACAAAAAAGGAGAGAGCAATCTCCTTCACTATCATCAAAGAGATCACAACATAAGGGCTCACCTTGTCTAAAACCTAATTCGCTATCGAACGGCTCAGAGGGTTACTTCTCGTTGCTATCGAAACTCTTACTGTCAGTTGTTGAAATATTTTAATTGACGCTTGTTTATACGTAGGGAGCACCTGCATACAATCCCGAAATAAATATAAACTAAAGACGCATTTCTTACCTCAATACTAAGCACCCTCGCAGACGCAACTTTGGTATATAGACACTGTAGTTATACTTCAGTGAACCTTTAAACCGAATTTGTCGGAGTTGCTCCGTTAAAGCTCTCTCTTTAAGCCAAGTTTGTTAGGACTCTCAAGGGTAGGAATTGAATTTAAACTTAAAACTGTAACTGCATACATCGAAGCGGATCCACTTTCCCATAATAATCCAGTTAAAATATAATCATTTATACTTCTAAAACAATTCAGTATTGCATTTACTTGTGATTTTAGAATATTTATAAATAAGTTTTTGCTGCATGCTTTATTGAAACGACAAATTGTTGACAATAATATTTTAGTGATAATTTTAACCTCTTTGAAGTAACACGACTACAAACGTCTCATAATGTTCCATTTATTCATGCGTGTCCTTGGTTGATAACGAAAGATATCCTCTTCTGGTGCACGTTGTGCATCATCAGAATCACTACCATCACCATCAGGCGTTTCTGGAGCTGCTGTTGTTGGCGCAGCTGTTGTTGGCTCAACTGTTGTTGTTGTGGTTGTTGTCGTTGCCTCAGTGGTACTCACTGGATTCCATTCACCATGCAAACAACTGTTGAGTTTATTTGTGCTCTCTGTTAGGCTGAGAATATTTTTCGTACGAGCTTCGTTGGTGCAGAAGAGTTCGGTGTCCTCGACAGCTTTATATAAAATTGTCAAATTATTTGAAATTCGCTCAGCTTTGGTGGAAATATTAAACAAAACGCCAGTGTTATCGCTGGACTGTTGAGAAGAGATAAGTGGCAGATAGAAAGAAGCGTTTATTATTATTTCAGAAAAAAAACAGGTTTAAATATAATATATAAAACTACTCATAGCAATTAGAAAAGTGTAGTAAAGTTAAATAAATAAATTATTTTATAACTAAATTAATCAAAGTAGACTATATTTTTAATTAAAAACTGCGGATAAATGTTCGAAAGTAACAAATCAAGCCAGAATATAATAAAAAAATTTCATTCAATTACAGAAATATATTATTATTAGGTCTAGTAAAAAATAATCCATTACTATTGCAATAGATAGCTTTAACGATCTCTAGTTCGAGTTCTATGAGCTCAAATGGGTTTCACCAAATGGATTTGGAAAAATTATATTTCTTACTAAAAAGTGTGATGAGAGAAGTGTTGACCGCTCAACTCAGTAGTGACTGAGCGCATGTCAACAGCCAAGAGAAAATACGCTCTTATAAATATTCACAAATTTTTCTTCGACATAGGCATATACGCTAGTCAAACAGCCGAATTTTGTTTATGGTTCCGGTACTGTAACAGTGGGTCATACCTAATTTTGGTGTCGCCTATTTTGTTTGAAAGACGCTCCACGGTGTAGAAAAACAATTGTCTTAAATATCGGTAAAATAATAGCAAACGTCGAGTTTCTGATCATTCGTGCACTTTTTCGTTTGGGCAGGAGGTTAACATGGCATAAGATGCAATTTGAAACGACCTGAAAAAGGCTAGATACAGAAAGAAGCTCGATGTATGAGCTCTACGAACTCAAAGAAAAACCTTATAGATCGAAGTTCCAATTTCGAATCGTTGCTGACTTGTAACAAAATCGACACATTTCTAATGCATTTGGATCAAAAGGGCGGCGGCGAAAGTTTTGTTGCGTGTTTGATGGAATTGGCAGGCAATCATTTACTGTGAGCTGCTACGCATCGGTCAAACTTTCAATTCGGAATTGTACTTTCCGCAATTGGACAGTCTGAATTAAGGAGAAACATCCAGCTTTCGTCAACAATCGGGGAATTGTGTTCCATCAGTACACATTGAGTGACTCGCCAGTAGATTCAAGAGCTTGGTTGGGAGGTTCCCACGCATCCACTTTATATTCCCGACCACACTATAAATGATTACTAACTGTTCGTATCTATGGCGAATGATTTAGCTGATGAAGAATTAGCCTCAAAATGAACGTGTGAAAATCGATAGCAACAATTTTGGGCCAATAAGAACAAGGGCTTCTATGAGAGCAGCATGGGGTTATGACCTTCAGAATAGCAAAAAAAATTCCAACTGCAGCAAATAAAGTCTTAAATTTAACGCAAAATTATAAATTACTTTATTTTAGAACTAATATTTTTCAAATTTTTTAAAAACTTTCTACTTAAAAAAAAAATATTTTAACCAATATTTTTTATTTCAAAAATATTTGTTGAATAACTTTATATTAAAAGCACAAAAAAATCTAATAATTTTCGTAAAAAAAAACGAATTGGATAATTTTGTATATTTTCCTGTTCAAATTTCCAAATCATTTTCTGCTTGCTAAAAAAATAAAAATTATTTCAAAATTATTCTTAATCATGCAAATCTTTTATTTTAAGACTAGTTATTTCAAATATGCAGATTTCTAAGAACTTATTCAAATTAAGAATACACGACTTTGACATACATACATATATATTTGAATATTTTTTTCGTAAATATGTGTTCAAAAATAATTTACTGTTAAAAACATCTGTTTTGAAATTTACTTTCATATATTATTTTTCAATTCTGGGCCAAATTATTCTCCATGCCACCGCAAAAAATTTTTATAATTTTTAGTTATTATAAAAATCAAGAAAAGTAGGTAAATTTAGAAAAAAATTTCTCTTCTTAAGTTAATATTAAAACACGGTTTATTAATAAATAAAATATATATTTATTAAAAAAAAATTTTTTTTTTTGCAACCACTCTTAGGCTTCAAAATTTCTTTCGATTTATTTTCTTTTGGCTTTTTTAATTTTTTTTACAAGTAAACCAATTTTAAATGTTTCAAATGAAACTCAACAAACAAAGCATAACTGAAAAATAGTTTTGAAAATCACTGCGTTCCATGAGTGTGTTTAATTTAGTAACTTCACTTTGCTAAATTCGCATTAATTTTTAATAATAAAAATAGCACGCGATCTTATTTCAATTGAAAAAGAAAAAAAATTACGAGCTCTGAAAGTTTCGAATATCTGATTGACTTGCAATATTCTTATAAAATTATTTTCTAATGAAAAGGAAAATATTTACTACCAACTTATCTTCATTTTTTCAAATTTTTTGTTAATCCTTTTTTTTATTTATTTTTTTTTTTTAGACTTACCGCATTATAGTAGCACTGGAAGAACTGCAAACTATCCTCGCGAGACTCACAATCGCTGAGTGCACTACAAATGGAATTTCCCGCATCCAACAGTTCGCTGCGATCCAAAGCACTTTGTTCCGATAATGCCTGCTTGGCCGCAATACTGGCATTCACGCAAGCATTATACTCATTATTATATGTGGTAGAGATCGCAGTCTGATCACCCATATACCAATCGAAACATATATTACTCTGCTCATAACCGACCATCACAGCACGGTTCGTATTCATTGTGAATGCAAGTTGACGAAAAACCCTATTATGCTCCTCCAGCATAGGCTGAAAGTCCAATTGACTGTAAGCCAGGCAACAACTGCTGACGACACTTATTGCCAATGCAAATAATAAAAGTTTTGCTGACATATTGAGTGAGTTGTTTGAATTTTGAACAAAAGTAATTATAAAACAATATTCTGCACCCGTTTGATTTACGACTATCACTGTTCTGTCCAGAGCATCGGTAGTGAGTATTTATATTGATAGACCGGTCTCTTTAAAGTTATAATACTCATAATGACAATAATGGAAATTATCTATTTATTATCTTACCCGCAAAGCTTCAAGTACGAGATTTGGTAGTCAAAAAGTTTTTATTTGTTTGTGTTCTTGATAACGGTTAACCTTATAGATAATTTTTTATTTTTTTTTTTTTGCGAAAAACGCACGAGATATAGTCTATCAATACAGCAATAGTTTTCGGTAATTAAAAAATTTCAATATTAATTTATAAAAGTGGCTTTATAAAAAAAATTTCCCTTGAATAAAATATAGAAAAAGAATATTTTTTTTTTGCTGGAACTTTTTTGGTGAATAATGATTCGATTATTTTCGGTAAGTTTAAAACAAAATCAATTATACTTATTTTATTATCTCCAAATAAGTGTGTTTAGCAAGACAGATTTTAGTTTCGATTAGGTCTATTGAAAGGTCATCTACTATTATTTGCAATAATTTTGTTGTATTTCTTTTATGTCAAATATGCAACAGTTTGCTCGATAAACTTTTGCGATTTTCAAGACAAAATTATTGCGTCTTCTTTGTAGAACCGCGGGTTCCTATTGGCCAAAAAATTGGGAGACTCGATTTTCCTGCGCTTCACCTGAAGCCACTTCTGCACCACCCAAATCATTTTCCATAGCCAGAAACAGATGGTAATCACTTATTGCGAGGTTCGGACTATAAATTGAGTGCATAAGAACCACCCAAATATGCTCTCAGAACATCTGTACTGTCACAATAGATCTATGCGGTCTGGCATTGTCCTAGTGAAACACGATACCCTGCTGTTGGCCGAAGCTGGGTACTTTTGGGCAAATGATTAATTCAAACTGTCCTTTTTCTGACATTATAGATACAAAATAAGAGTTTGACTGAACGGGAGCAGCTCATAGTACATGATTCCTGGCTTGGAGGCCGCTAGTTAGAACGAGCGGAAGAGTTTAATGGCTAGAAGTCAAAATAATGCATTGGTCGGTTCCACGGATGGTCCTTACCATAGTCAAACAAGAATATTTGGTAACTGCAGTAGCCGATGCTCATGGGTTCTAGCTAGTCAGCAAGTGATGCCGATAGCACTGTCAAACTCAAAAATATCCAACATTGATATGTGCTAATTTTCCGGGCAGTTTCGGTTTTATAGTATGCTTCTAAATAAGTTATGAAGCGCTCGTGCTCGGAGGTACATTCCTAAGGCCCTTGTATAACTTCAAGAACGGGCACCTTGATGTAAGCCACTGTAAGATGGAACTTGTCTTTTTTACGGGAAGGTATAAGATCACAAACGGTAAAAGGTGAATTTTTGTTCTAAAGTATGGTATTGGATTTAGATCACCATAGTCAAACGTGCCATGAGAGGACTAAAGAAGAAAGAACCACTGGAGAAAATGACTACTTGCCATCGTCACGGATGAGTTAAAGCTGGCACAAAGATTGGGGCAAAGTACTCTGTCGATAATTATCTATTGATAGAGAGTTAAGGCCTCCAGGTATTTGCAGTATTTTTTAAGCAAAGTAGTGGCTATAGGAAGCGGTGGACCTTCTATTTTGATTGTGAACTCAAAAATGGCGAAATAGTGCTTGCTACTTCTGTCTATGAAGTCGACATATTTTCAAATTAAATCATATGGGCAATGGGTCACAACGACTAAGCAACCGCTAGCACTTCAGCATGCTCGGTAGGCAGAATCTTCAATCTCAAAAGCAAAACTTGCACACTAAGTGGAAGTTCTGACCAAGCTTTCGCAGAATAGAATTTACGCGGCAAGCCTTGTGATTTCTTAGATCTTCTCGTAGTTGTTTCGATGAAGAGATTGGATCTTCTTTACACTTTCGTATGAGCTATCCGAAATGTGCAAGGCTAAAACTGAAAATACTCGGATCGAATACCTTTACCGACCCAAAGCATTCAGAAACCATTTTTATCAGATAAACTTGTAGAATTGCGTCAAGCAATAAGCGATTCCCTTAATATAAAGTGATCTAGTTTTCATAATATTTTTATTGTTTTACTGTTTTTTTTTTCACGTAATTTAATCGACGAAGTGGTTAAACCTCTTACATGTTCGGCCTTCCAAGCGAACTGAGGCTGATTGTCTTCAACAGGTCCCGAATTATGCTTGATTGCAGTACAAAATTTTCGCACCAAGAAATCTTTTAAGCTACATGGCTGTCAATAGATCGAAAATGGCGCAATCAAATCGATCATGTGGTAATTGGCGACAGAAATGTGGCGGTTGTTCTGGATATGCGTACATTTGATTACTTAAAATCGAATCTGATCACTACCTTGTTGCAGCAAAAGAAAAACAACTTGTCTCGGTGCATCATAGAACACCCGCCAAGAAACACAAAAAAGGTCGAAAGGTTTTCTACATGAATTGCGCACCTGTTTTCTGTTAACACTAATCAGTACCTCAAAATGAGAGCACTGTAAAACGGCATTTCAAACGATGATTATGGAAAATACATTCCATTATTCGACTGTAAAGAAGTTCGAATAACAATCGCGCCTTAAAAGGCTACAAAGCGACTGCAGCTGATTGCTTTCCTTAAACTTTTCAAATACGGCGGTGGGAGCTGAAAGTAAGCACGCATCATCTCTTTTGTAGAACGTGATCAGATGAATGCATGCCCGAGATTGGAACCCAAGTGTGATATAAGCCTCCTGGGATATTAATATAAGGCGCTATCGAATATTTTGTGTGAAAGACTGAAGCCCACTGTCAACTAGTTGATTAGTCTTGATCGGTGTGGTTTTAGACTTGATAATCTCACTATTGACCAGATATTCACCATGTGACAAATCGTGGAAATGACACGTGAAAGTAATAAGAGCTGCAGAACTAAATAGAAAACGTGCAATGGTATAATGGTAGTAAAAAAACAGAACATCTCTTGTCATCAAAGAAATAGGCAAGAACGTAGATAACTTCGCTTGCCTACGAACCACCATTAACAGTAATAACAGGTGGTAGATACACCTTCAGCACTTCACCTCAAGGGCAATAAAGCGCAATTCATTGATGAGTGCAAAATATTCATTTATTATAAAGTGAATTAAATGATATTTAATAAATATGCCATCGTTTATTTCAATTAAAAATAATTTATTAGCAATAAACTGAAACGAAATCAGATTTCCGAGAATTTATTGTATGTTTTACTCAATTGATTTGGAAAAATATGTTTATATTATATAAATCCTCTATATAAGTATGCTTAAATTAATTATTGGCTATCAAAAACTCTTCGATAAGATTTTTCTATGAAAAGCGTCTTATCATTATCGGTTAAGTTTTTTTTTTTTTTTTTTTTTTGCAAACATAATAAATACGTTTCTCATATAAAGCTTCCTGTCATTTGAAACCACCAGATGTCAACAGTGGCTGACGTTATTCAACTTCCGCTCGTAGAACAAAAAAAGTTAATCCCGTTCTTTTATGCATTATTTTCATTATTTACGCACAAACAAAGCATAGCTGGGAGACAGCATTGAGCGAGCGTCTATTCAGCTTCCCGACTCTCCCAACGTCTCCCTAGAAGTTGAAACACATCTGGCTCGTAAGTGCGCTCCGGATCAGATTATTTTGGAGAGGAGTGTACATAGGGTTGCAGTAGTGGAACCAGAGTTTGGCGTCAACATCATCGGAGAAGCACTAAAATCGAGAAGCTCACAACGATAAATATCATTTTGTCTGCTTTCCACGCTTTTTTTTATCGACAGTGTTATTCCCTAATTATTTACGTATCCATCACCTTAGCAGACTGAAGATGGCTTAAACATGTCAAGAGACACGCAACCAGAGAGCTATGACCAAAATTGGTAGCGAAAAAACCAAAACATCTTTTGGACTGCCAACTTTTTAATGGGGCTTAATGAGGAAAACATGAGATATCACTCTAACAATTATTGTCGCAGTTATAGAGACGAAGAAGAGTAGAAATATATTGAACACAACCACTGGAAGTCCTACCTATACGTCTGCGTGACACAAGTTCTTCGGGAAACACTTCTTCGACTGTCTCGTTCAGCTAGCCTCAACAAAAATTGGTAATATCGTTGCCTTTATAAAGCATACGAGAGGGAGAGAAGGTGAAGACACGAACCTCATAACGATATAACAATGAGACTATTGCTCTAGGTGCGCTGGTGAAACACAATTCTCCTCCCGTTGACCAAAGCTGGACGCTTCTGAGCAATTGCTTTCTTCAGATCGTCTAATCACTGACGGTACGGTTGCGAATAAAGATTTTGACCAAAAATTTATCAAGTACATAACAAAATCTCTCTAACCATCAATGCTGTGCCTACTCACAGTGGATTTGATTGGGTTGATGTTGTTACGATTCAGCAATAATAAGCAAATAGTAGCTCGGCCTATGAGAGGCTTTTCAGTGCAATTTTCAAGTAGCTCCAAACAGCTTTTTGTGCAATTTTTAACTCCAGAATATTCTGAGACTCGATAATTTTCATTATTTCATTGACATTTTCGATAATTGACCATCCACATCGTGGGTTAACTTGTACGTCGAAATTGGTGGAACGAGATTGACGAAAGCGAAATTGTGCATGATTTAAGGTTACAGTATCAGGACCACTTTTCACACTTTTTGTGGCCTGACTTGCGTTTTAGCTTTTATCGGAGAAGCATTCTATAATGTGGCGGATTTTCTCTTTGCTGGTGTCCAGCTTTGACAAGCGCTCAAAGCATTACTGAGTTGAGTGATCAACAATTCTCTTATTATTTTCTTTTATTTCAAAATATCATACTTCTGACGACATCTAACGTAATCCAATCGCACTTGTAGAGCGCGAGATTCATATCACTGAATCACTGAAATTAATACATTATTTTGTTTTTGTTTATTCACTAAAAACTATATACTCATATATATGTATAATAAACGCGCAAATACTAAACAATTTCGCATAAAATAAAACCTTCCGTTCAACCGCACTCCCTTTCAATTTGTATATATGTACTCATAAGAGAATGATGAACAAGACAAGCTTGCTTATGTACCACTGTCTTAGTGAGCTCATCAGGCCTACTCTGTAAGTATCTCTGCTAGGCAACCAAATTAGAGAAAACCTTGCGATTAATATACAAAGAAAAAGACTGGTCAAATTTATTATTTAATTTTTATTTTTTCATAATAACAAATTTGCATGAAATTGTTTATCAACCAACTCAAACTCATTTGTGTAGAATATTGCGTGCTCATGGCGATCATTATTCACAAATTTAGAAATACATACATATCTACGTTGAATTTTGAAATTCAAATTTGCTTACGTTTTGCCAAAGATTACTCTTGACTGATAAGATTTCATCGCGTAGTATAAGTTTTGTCACTCACAGTGGTAGGAGAATGACGTGCCCAGACATTAACGCCGAAACATTTGTGGTAATCTTTATTACGTTGGAGCATGGCACTCAATAAAAAAAACCAAAAGGTTTCCGATCAAAAGTGGTCAAAACAACAACTTAGCAAGATGTCATAAAAGTGAAATGCAATGAAAAGAAATTGGTAAATTTTAATGTAGTGAGTGTACAACCTCAAAGCATGCAATTATATATAATTGACGCTTTGTAACCGCTGAAGCGATTTTCGGGAGAGCTCCTCCTCCAATTGGTGGTTTTTGCGTTACGAGGTTTTTCCAACAAATAAAGGGACCAACGGTTTATACAATACTAAGCCGCCTTATAACTTCAGGATGTTCGTGACATCGAGATTTGAACCCGAGCCTTCCGAATGGCAGTACGCCATGCTATCCACTCGGCTACCGCGGCCGCGGATATTGGCATCGAAGTACCGAAAATATTATAAAGAGTGTATTATAATTGGCGATCAGTAAACACTAAAATGATTATCGGCCGAGATATTCCTGCAATTTGCGCTGTGCATCTTGATGCTTCGCTCCAATAAATGGAAGAACGTACATTTTATTCAAAGTCCGCTCCAAACGACTGCGGAATTTTAATAAGGAGCCACATAATTCATTTCAGAAATACACCCGGAGGTGTTGACATTAATTTCTTTTATTATATATATACATATATAATTTATTTGATTACAGCCGTTTCTGTGAACTTACCTATTAGAAAAAGAGAGACCATATCAGAAACTGATGAAAATCGTAAAATAGAAATATGCTCAAGTACTTATCTAAACAAAAGACTTTCCTGACACTATCGCTAATGGTTTTATGGAGACCTCATTCAGTTCAGATTTTTGTTTGGTTTCAAGTCATTATAAAACTAATGACGACTTTTGACAAGCACTTGGGAGCTGACTCATCAGTGACTACTCAAAACTCGTACTTCTACGCCTGAAAAGCTATTGCATAGCTGAAAACATTAATTATGTACAATATAATTTCGTTTTTTTTTTTCTGCAAAGAGAAATGAGCAGAGTGTTTTTATTCTTATTTCCAGCCTGCTTCTCTTCAATCGAAAATTTGAATTTTCAAGAACCCTTTTGATTCAGCAAAGTCAGTTGATTTCCAATGAAGTTTCAATTCGAATTTTATTTTTTATAAATACTTTTTGTTTCTAATAAATATTTAATTTCCAATGTTGTTAATGTTAATAATTACATAATTTTTTTAATATATTTTCATGAAATTGTGTGGTCGTATTTTTTAAATAATAATGTGAATTTTCTATGACAATTTTCAGACCAATTTAGTGCTTTCTCAATGCGGCTCGGGCTTTTAGCTTGCCGAGGCGTTGCATAAGCGTGTCAAAGAGATCTTCTTCAGGCATAAAATCCTCATCAGTTGTTGGTGTATCTGTAGGTGCATCGGTTGGGGCATTTGTTGGCGCATCTGTTGGTGCATCGGTTGGGGCATTTGTTGGCGCATCTGTAGGTGCATCTGTTGGCGCATCTGTTGGTGCATCGGTTGGAGCATTTGTTGGCGCATCTGTAGGTGCATCTGTTGGTGCAACGGTTGGAGCATCAGTGGGTGCATCTGTTGGTGCAACGGTTGGTGCATCTGTTGGTGCAACGGTTGGTGCATCTGTTGGCGCATCTGTAGGTGCATCAGTGGGTGCATCTGTTGGTGCAATGGTTGGTGCATCTGTTGGCGCATATGTTGGCGCATCGGTTGGTACATTTGTTGGCGCATCGGTTGGTGCATTTGTTGGCGCATCGGTTGGTACATCTGTTGGCGCATCAGTAGGGGCAACTGTGGGAACTGATGACTCGCCCCTCAAACAGCTTTGCAAATCCATATTAGTCTTATAGGTCTTCTCCAAATAAGCACGTTCGGAGGCGTTCGTACAGCGATTTTCGGTAGTTTCAATTACGCGATATTTTTCACTTACATCCGCTAGGGTTTCAGCAGAGTCTGCTGAAATCTTAAATGAACTCTCATAACTTTCTTTAGCCTTTAAAGAGAAGAATGCAAAAAAAAAAGAAAAGAATTATATGTTTTTTTTTCATTTTACGCACTTTAACGACTCCAACTCACATCTCTCGCGAAACATTCGAAATACTCAATGGAACTACTAAGCTGCGAACACTGATGGAGCGCGTTACATGACAACGTTGCCGCTGCTTCTATCTCATCACGTTTTGGTTGTGTGCCAATATCGATCTCGGTTCTGTCTGCATCGGCCGAGGCCAAGCAGGCGTTGTAATTTTCCTTATACTCCAGGCTCAGATCATCGAGCAATTGCAAATAATAATCAAAGCAAGCTATGCTCTGTTCTGGATTGGCGCGCTGATGATCACGCGTATCCACCATTATTTGCAGCAAATGCAACTCTGTGCTGCGGAGTAAATTATTCGTGGAGGCCGCGAAGGTTGTGACCACGATGAGGCAAAGTGAAAGCAACGTTAATTTATGCATTGCAGGACTATTCCTTTTTTTTACTTCTCACAAGTATTTCTTGATATATTTATATCAGGCACTGTGTTCTTTAGGTTTCTTTTCACTTAACTGCGTTTAAGCAAGTACAGTTTTAATTTATTTTTTCTTGCGATTTCTTCGTTGCGATCAGCACGTTCACATTCGACATTCACTTGTTACTGTTGTCGGAACAAGGAGTAGACATACTTTTTATGGCTAATATCGATTTTCAATGGCCTGCCATCAACACTTCTTTTACGGCCCCCATAAATAGTCCAATAAAATGTTTTTGTTTTTTCATTACTTCTCTGCTTTTGTTATTGATTTCTTTTAACATTATATATAACTCAAATTGTATTTGCAATTTTTTATAAGTTTTACAGTCCCACTTTCGTACAGTATTTCCTCATAGCTTTTTTATGTTGTAAATAAAATTTAATTCCATTGAACTGTAGTGCAATTAATAGAGGTCTTCTTGCAGCAGATAACGAATTAAAAAGCGTTAGCCGATTACAGAAAATAATACACAGCAAAGATATAACTTCCAAGGGTGTTGCGTATATTTCACTAGAGCTGGTTTCTACGTAGCGAGTCTCAAACCTCACGCACAACCTCGCCAGGTCAGCAGGTTTCAAAATAAATCACATTTTTACAGCGACCTGTTCGCTTCCAGATTGGCACCAAACCTCTGAAAGACATACGCTACATTTAGACTTCAGCTCCTTTCTTTCAGCCGTGACCAAAGGCTCAACAGGGGTTAGTAACTGCATCTTTCACAAGGGACGCAAGAGTGGTAATTGAGTATAGTCCCTAACAGTAAACGCATACCCAGTAGATGGACTTAGCCCAAATACAGCCCCTTACTCGAATCCTTACAAAGAAACTCTGTTAGACGGCCTTTCTGTTAGACGGTCTTCAAGCTCTCTAGATACAAATGCAAAACGAGCAAGACCCAAAAGCAGTTGGTACAATGAGGGATGTTTTGCCGTTGTGGAGAGAAAGCAAGCTGCCTTCCTCGCAACGTTGAGAATGACCAGCAGAAGTGTGGAGGAGGGGTTAGGTTAGGTTAAGCAGGCTGACCCAATATGTCTCATATAGAGGAAATACATCTTTATTGCTGCCAGATATAATAGATGCAATCAAGCTATACTGCGACACTCCTGTTCCGTCTCAAGTGTGCAGTACTGTTCTTTTCGCGAACTTAAGTATGCGTTTTGATCCCTTGGCTTTTGAAGATCTTGTAGCCATTCTGCGCCATGCACGCATAGCTTTAAACTACTGAATGCCAGAGCTTTCCAGATTACGTGAATCACTGTCTCCACACATTCCGGTGCTGAGCTATTTAAACATAGCTGTGAAGATCAGAAAGCACCTTGTTGCACAGGAAAGGGCGATCCCACAGTATATGCCAATTACCGTGGCATGAGCTTCCTCAATATCGCATATAAGGTATTTGCTACAGGGTCGGCGAATGGAGTTTTCGAGGAAAAGGTTTTGGGTGAGATTAATGGTCATGAACTATTTGTTAATGGCTAATACCGCAGACTATGGAATCATGAGCCGTATGAGACATAGAGTTCGGCGAATCAAGAAACAGTGACTATGCTGCCTAGGGTGAACCACATGACCTTAGTGGATAAGAATACTCCAGCTTTAAAAGTCTTCGCACAGAACGAAGCAGACGACGGCAACCAAATAGGAGGGAACTGGCTCAATTGACGCCGGCAGCTAAAGAAAGCGCACTGTCTACGGCATAAAAAGCGATTTTGTTTTTTAATTTAACCTTAATAAAACCGATTCTTATACTATATATCCAAATACAAATGCAGACACAAAATTCCAATTTACTTAGCAGCCGCTCTCTAATGCGACTTAACATATCGTTACATCACGCTTCAAAAATGTACAACGACATTAGCAAAATATTTAAAGACTTAAATAGCTGAAACTTTACCAAGGAAGGAACTGCAAATTCCATCTCATCGAACGATAAGGATATTAAAACCAAGGCTCATTAACAACATAAGCCTTTTATCAGCGTTGACGGAGTAAATTATTCCAAAGAGCTAGCCTGAGATTCTCCTGATGTCTTTAGATTTTGGGATTCTCCTGTGTTCACTGCAGTTGTGTCCTGAGAACCTTCAGAAGTGGCGGGTGACGTAGCACTCGACCTTGCTGAATCGTCACCAGATGATGTCGTGGCAACAGAAATAGTCGTATCAGTGCTGGGAGAGGTAATATCGGAACCTTCAGATGATGTTGGATTTCGGAATTCTTCTGTGTTCACTTCACTTGTGTCCTGGGAACTTTCAGAAGTGGCGGATGACGTAGAGCTGGCTCTTTCGGAATCGTCACCAGATGATGCCGTGGATTCAAAAATAGTCGTAGCAGTGCTGGACGAGGTACTATCGGAACTATCAGTTGATGTTGGATTTTGGGACTCTTCTGTGATCACTTGAGTTTTGTATTGTGAACTTTCAGAAGTGGGGGATGACGTAGCACTCCACCTTGCTGACTCGTCACCAGATGATGTCGGGGATTCAAAAATAGTCGTATCAGTGCTGGGAGAGGTAATATCTGAACCTTCAGATGATGTTGGATTTTGGGATTCTTCTGTGTTCACTTCACTTGTGTCCTGGGAACTTTGAGAAGTGGCGGATGACGTGGAGCTCGCTCTTTCGGAATCGTCACCAGATGATGTCATGGATTCAAAAATAGTCATACCAGTACTAGCCGAAGTAATAACGGAACTATCAGTTGATGTTGGATTTTGGAATTCTTCTGTGTTCACTGCTGTCGTATCCTGCGAACTTTCAGAAGTAGCGGATGACGTAGAGCTCGCTCTTGCTGAATCGTCACCAGATGATATCGTGGATTCAAAAATAGTCGTACCAGTGCTCAGCGAGGCAATATCGGAACTATCAGTTGATGTTGGATTTTGGGATTCTTCTGTGTTCACTGCAGTCGTATCCTGAGAATTTTCGGAAGTGGCGGATGACGTAGAGGTCGCTCTTTCGGAATCGTCACCAGATGATGTCGTGGCAACAGAAATAGTCGTATCAGTGCTGGGAGAGGTAATATCGGAACCTTCAGATGATGTTGGATTTTGGGATTCTTCTGTGTTCACTTCACTTGTGTCCTGGGAACTTTCAGAAGTGGGGGATGACGTAGCACTCGACCTTGCTGAATCGAGTTGATGTTGGATTTTGGGATTCTTCTGTGTTCACTACAGTCGTATCCTGAGAACTTTCGGAAGTGGGAGTGCTGGGCGAGGTAATATCGGAACTATCAGTTGATGTTGGATTTTGGGATTCTTCTGTGTTCACTGCAGTCGTATCCTGAGAACTTTCGAAAGTTTCGGATGACGTAGCACTCGACCTTGCTGAATCGTCACCAGAAGATGTCGTGGCAACAGAAATAGTCGTATCAGTGCTGGGAGAGGTAATATCGGAACCTTCAGATGATGTTGGATTTTGGGATTCTATTCAAAAATAGTCATACCAGTGCTAGCCGAGGTAATAACGGAACTATCTGTTGATGTTGGATTTAGGGATTCTTCTGTGTTCACTGCAGTTGTGTCCTGAGAACTTTCAGAAGTGGGGGATGACGGAGCACTCGACCTTGGCGAATCGTCACCAGATGATGTCGTGGACTCAAAAATAGTCATACCAGTGCTAGCCGAAGTAATATCGGAACTATCAGTTGAGGTTGGATTTTGGGATTCTTCTGTGTTCACTGCAGTCGTATTCTGAGAACTTTCAGAAGTGGGGGATGACGTAGCACACGACTTTGCTGAATCGTCACCAGATGATGTCGTGGCAACAGAAATAGTCGTATCAGTGCTGGGAGAGGTAATATCTGAACCTTCAGATGATGTTGGATTTTGGGATTCTTCTGTGTTCACTTCACTTGTGTCCTGGGAACTTTGAGAAGTGGCGGATGACGTGGAGCTCGCTCTTTCGGAATCGTCACCAGATGATGCCGTGGATTCAAAAATAGTCGTACCTGTGCTGGGCGAGGCAATATCGGAACTATCAGTTGATGTTGGATTTTGGGATTCTTCTGTGATCACTGCAGTCGTATCCTGAGAACTTTCAGAAGTGGGGGATGACGTAGCACTCGACCTTGCTGAATCGTCACCAGATGATGTCGTGGCAACAGAAATAGTCGTATCAGTGCTGGGAGAGGTAATATCGGAACCTTCAGATGATGTTGGATTTTGGGATTCTTCTGTGTTCACTTCACTTGTGTCCTGGGAACTTTCAGAAGTGGCGGATGACGTAGAGCTCGCTCTTTCGGAATCGTCACCAGATGATGCCGTGGATTCAAAAATAGTCGTACCAGTGCTGGGCGAGGTAATATCGGAACTATCAGTTGATGTTGGATTTTGGGATTCTTCTGTGTTCACTGCAGTCGTATCCTGAGAACTTTCGGAAGTGGCGGATGACGTAGCACTCGACCTTGCTGAATCGTCACCAGATGATGTCGTGGATTCAAAAATAGTCATACCAGTGCTGGGCGAGGTAATAACGGAACTATCAGTTGATGTTGGATTTTGGGATTCTTCTGTGTTCACTGTAGTTGTGTCCTGAGAACTTTCAGATGGGGCGGATGGTGTTGAAGTTTTACGGATTCCCGACTTCTTTGTCGTCTTTTTAGGTGGTTTGTGTGAGTTGTCTGGTATGCAGGAATTGCCATCACTACTGTCACTCTTTTCGTTACCATCGCTCTCTTCGCTGCTATACTCACTGTCCTCACTATTTGTACTCCCACTATCACAACCATTTTCTTCACTATCATTTTCTTTATTACACTCATCGTTGTCTTTATCTTCTTCACTGTAATCCTCGTTATCCGAATCATTTCTGTTATCATTATAATTGCCATGAGTTTCTTCATTATCGTCACTATTCGAATCATTGTCACTATCAATATTATCATCTCTATTAGCTGAATCACTATCACTATCTTTTTCATCATCTGCACTAACTTCATTATCATCTTCGCTGTCTTCTTCATCAGACTTGCTATCCGGATTATCATCTCTGTTACCTGAATCACTATCACTGTCTATTTCATCATCTGCACTAACTTCATTATCATCTTCGCTGTCTTCTTCATCAGACTTGCTTTCCGGATCATCATCTCTATTAGCTGAATCATTATCACTGTCTTTTTCATCATCTGCACTAACTTCATTATCATCTTTGCTGTCTTCTTCAACAGACTTGCTATCCGGATCATTACTTATATTAGCTGAATCAATATCACTGTCTTCTTTATTTTCTGCACTAACTTCATTATCGCCTTCGCCGTCTTCCTCATAAGATTTGCTATCCGGATCATCATCTGTATTAGCTGAATCACTATCACTGTCTTTTTCATCATCTGCACTAACTTCATTATCATCTTTGCTGTCTTCTTCATCAGACTTGTTATCCGGATTATCATCTCTATTACCTGAATCAGTATCACTGTCTATTTCATCATCTGCACTAACTTCATTTTCAGCTTCGCTGTCTTCTTCATCAGACTTGCTTTCCGGATCATCATCTCCATTAGCAGAATCAGTATCACTGTCTATTTCATCATCTGCACTAACTTCATTATCAGCTTCGCTGTCTTCTTCATCAGACTTGCTATCTGGATCATCATCTCCATTAGCAGAATCAATATCACTGTCTTCTTTATCTTCTGCACTAACTTCACTTACTTCCTCATAATATTTATTATCCGTATCATCATCTTTATTAGCTGAATCGCTATCACTGTTTTCCTTGTTATCTGCAATAACTTCGTTATTATCTTCGCCGTCCTCCTCATAAGACTTGCTATCCGGATCATCACCTCTATTAGCTGAATCACTATCACTGTCTTCCTGATTATCTGCACTTACTTTATTATCATCTTCGCTGTCTTCTTCACCAGATATACTACCCGGATCACTGTCATTATTATCTTTTACATCCTCTATATCATCATCATCGCCTTGCTTATCATCACGTTCATGATTTCCATCGTCTTCATCATCATCAGCCTCATTGTCATCCATCTCATCTTTATTTTCATCACTTCTATTATCGTTAACATCATCACCATCATCATCATTACTATCATTATTGTTTTTACTTTCATCATCACTGTCTTCGTCTTCGTCACTATCTGAACTTGAATAGCTCCTTTTCAGTCTGACTTTTCGCTTTACAATTTCTTCACCATTATTCCCATAAAAATGTTTACAGTATTCCCTCCTCAAACGAGTCTCCACTGTTCTATCTACGCTTTCATGAATTATTTTATCACATTTAGCCTTCAAGCACTTTTTAAATTCTTTATGAATATTTATCTTTTCTAAAAGAAACTCTTTATTGGCGATTTTTTCACAATACAAATCTCGCACGTTGCATTCCCCAATTTTTGCGTCGAGTACAGTGTTTGCGAAAACTAATTTTCGTCTAAAATACGGGAAGCAAACATTCTCCATTTTCGTTCTGTATATTTTCTCACATTCGACAGCTATTATAGCTGCTAAACAAAGGAAAAGGACAATGATTGTGGAAGAAGACATTTTGCAAGAACCGCACTGTTGCCCGTTTAGCACTTGAATTATTTAATTTCCAAAGATTGTTACTGTGTTGTAATTGAAACGGTTTTTAGACGGTTTTAGCGAAATTTTCCCAAGACTAGCTCCACTTGCAAAAATTCAGTATTTATATAGCCGTTCACACTGGATTTGTAGCACTAATGACGGTAATAATTTAAAAATTTCGTTAAAAAAAAAATTGTTTTAATTTAAAAAACTGTCAGTTATGGGTCATAAATAAAACTAAAAAATAATGAAACTAATTCTTACCGAAGAAATATTAATATCGAAAAATAAATGGAAATTCGCAATACCATGTGCGAAAAGTATTGACCTTTAGGGAAGGTCAATAGCGAAACTTTTCAAGAATTTATATGCATAAGTTGGATTTTATATAGTAAATAAAACCGCTTTATCCGAAAAAGATTAGGAGTATTTCTTAATTTTTGTATTTCATCAACCCCTAAGGTTTGTGAATATAACTGATCAAATGCGCTAGTTAAACTATTTTTTTAATTCCGAGGGCATATTTCAGTTCATGGAAGGGTAAAATCATAATCCGGGCTTTTTTTATGAACAAAAATATTATAAATGGGAAATAATTAAAAATTATTTTACTAAATACGAATAGCAGATAACTACTAAGTAACTGAAAAGTATTTTATAAATATATTTTTTTCACATTTATTTTCCCCACGTGTTACTAAATCCAGATAAAATAAAAATTTAATAAATATGAAAAGGAGGCGCCTGCAAAAGATGAGGAAATGTTTGAATTTTTGATAATTTTTTTTGCCTTATTGTTATGCGTGTTTGCCGATTGTTTTTTTATTTTATTTTATTTTATTTTATTTTATTTTATTTTATTTTATTTTATTTTATTTTATTTTATTTTATTTTATTTTATTTTATTTTATTTTATTTTATTTTATTTTATTTCTTTTTTTTATTGCTGTTCATTTTGTTTTTTTTTATCTGATTTTATTTTATTTCGTTTTCTTATATTTTTTTTCGTTTATGTGATTTTATATATTAATATGAATTAAAAATGTATGTAGGTAATCAATACAAATTTAATATTGTCATGTTAAAGAAAGGCTTAAGTTATCAATAACCTTAGTGTAGGAAAACGGTCGGAAATAACGCAGTAAAATAAATATAAATGAATTATGGTAAACAAACTCGTTTCAAAGTTTTGTAAATTACGCTCTACTTCGTTATTATCTTTATGAATTCCGCACCACAGTCGTACTTCATATACGAAAATGCACACACATACAGGCTGAGCGTAGAACAGCAGTTAATGATTGAAAAGAAATACATATATATAGCTATTATTAGTGATGATTTCTAATGTTAGGCAAAAAAGTAAGCAAAATATCAGTTAATACTGTTACTGTTTTTTTTTTTTCAAGCATAAAGCAAATAGGTATTCACTTGGCTCTAATTTATTGTATTGTATGTGAAATCTGCATTCCATTATGTCTATAGAATTTATTTCGAGTTTTAATAAAATTCAATCAATTATTCATTACAATAGGTATGCATATAATTAACATGACTTATGTGCAATGCATACATTTATTGTTAGCAAATATTTGATTGCTTTCAGTTGAGTGCAAATGTTTTATAAATTTTAATTTTAATTTTAATATTTCTCTCTTTATACAATATTTAAGTTTACTGCTAGGCGTAGGGGATCTCGCTTGATATCAAAACGAATGACAATCATATTTCTAAAGCGCGATCAATTAATAGACATCAATAAGTGAGCTAAATTGTTTATTGTTATTACTTCCAGGAAAATAAGTAAATTTTAAAGTCTATTACTTCTGATAGGCAATTATATTTTTATCAACTTTTTTTTTAAATGTCACGTTGAAATTAGATTTTCCACTACCGGAAAGGTATTACTAATTATTGCTAAATATCAATTACTCAAATCATGTGCCAAGTTTGCTATAAAAGAAACTAACAGCGCCTAATCAGCTGAGATTTTATCACTATTGGGCATAACTACAATAAGCCTATTTATGTTTATACTAAAATGCCTATGTTTGTAGGACAAAATATGACATAAAAAATTGTGAGTAGATTATATTGTGGTTAAACGTAATTCATAATTGCATTAATGGTGTATAATGAGAAGGCAGAAGGCAGTTAAACCTTCGAATAAATTGGTATTTTGTACAAAATTTGAAATGAATGTGTGTAACACACTTGTCAAGTACAGACAATAAACATGTCAATATTTATGACCGAAGAATAGTTGTTTATCAACTCATTAAAAAAAGTACTTGAATGTTTGCCTCAATGGAAATTATTTTGCTTGGTCACTCAAATAATTCATACACGAATGCCAAGATTAGTAATAGCTAACAAGCGTATGACTCACGATAACGCCTCGTGACGGTCGTGACCAAAAAAAAAATGTTCAGATAGTCGAATAATTAGCAAAGACTGAGTTGGTGAGATTTCGCATAAACATTTGAAAAGGAAAAAAATTGTGCGCATTGAATACCGCGCATGCTCACGCTGCTCGACAAGCGAGGGAATATTATTAATTAATGTTTTCCCAAGGGGACTACAACTACAGCCCAGTATTACGCTAATATGTTGAGTCAGACGCGGAAAAGGTGTGACAAGTTAGCGCGGAAAGTCTCTTAGTTAACAACATAACCGGAGAATGCCTTAAAAGCTACTGGATACAGAAATTGATAATTCACCATACATTCCGCACTCCTAGTGACGTTTTTTTTTTTAAATTTGAAAAAGGAGTTGAAGGGACGTAGATTTTTAGAAGGTTGTGAGAAGAAAGCCGCCTTAGAACACTGTTTTGAAGAGAAATCTAAAGAATATATTTTCTGTGGTACAAAGGCATTGTAGTCACGAGGTGAAGAGAGCATTTCACTTGAGGGAGACTGTATTGAAAAATAAATAGCATAACGTAATGAAACACATCCATTAAGTACCTTAAGCCGCGAGCTCATCAAACGCCCTTTCCGTCGAATTTTCTAATTTACTCGCGGCGTACGGATGATACTTCCTTATCCTAAACTCTCGCGGCTGTTCTTCTAAAGCAATTTAGTATTTTTTTTTTTTTCAAATGCAAAACTTTGCAACTCTTTCAATCTTTTCTCCTTTGCCCACAGCATACCACCACAGGCATAGTACAAACACACATGCTGATACATAAATCTTGGAAAATTTTATTTAATTTATAATTGACTTGATAAATATTTGTTGATGTTGTGATAATGTCATTCAGTGTCATTCAAGCAGGCAAACACATCCGTACATAGCTTGCATAGTAATTTTCAGCAACACTAACAACGCTCATGCAAACGCACCCACATATATACATATTCGCATACCAATAACAAGCAAGTTAAGTCAAGTGTTGGGTGCACATACATACATTTTATTAAATACATATACAAATTTACACTACATTTTGCAAGGACCCGCTAAAATATACCAACAATCGCCGGTTGCAACATTTACGCTATCGCACGCTGTCTGCTCGCTCTCTTTTAGCTCTTGCCAGTGTTAGTTGGCAATATGCGCTTTCACACCCGCCGTCAAGTGATGCGAGAGATATCTTTGCTTCATTTGCATATCTTAATTACATTTTTGTTGGTCTGTTTGTGTTTGTAGTGCTTGTGTTGTTGGAGTGTTTGCCGTTTACGTTGCTGCATCTCATTACCGCCAGAGTGCTGCTGCTGCTCTTCAGTTGAAAGCTGTCTACAGTTTGACTGCTGTCTTCTTTATTTTTACTTTTTTGTTTTTATATATTTTTTATTCTTCTTCCACTGCTTCTTCCCCCAACCTTCACTACCACTTTGTATGTGGCGAAAGAAAGGAAAAAAGAGTATGCATAGCGACGCGCCACTCGGTACTCTATGCAACTGCTAACACTGCATAAGTTATTAGCTTCATTTGTCGCCTCAACGCTGCATTTAAGCGGACGCCCTAAGACAGTGCTGCGGGAGTAACGGTGGTAACAGATTGCCCTGTATGCGCTATTGATGGCGGGCGTGCAGTTTGCAACAACCTGTGGCAAACTCTTCAACGACGCTTCCTTTCCCCCATCATCATTCCTCTACGGCAAAGGACGTGTCGTCATAGACGCAACCGCCAATTTAACAAGTTTGTGTGTACCGGCGCGCCGCGGTGTGTGGTGAGCTAAAACTGAAGAATAAAACATAATCTTTTTTTTCATATAGAAGACGTAAAGATGACGAAATTGGCTTTATAAAGTAAATAACAATAATAGAAGCTAATGCATATAAAAGCGCTGGTAACACAACGAGGTGAGGCAATTTGAAGTTTTTGCAAGAGTTGCAGCGCAAATAGCGGATGTGTCGTTAAGTGGATGGCGAATTATCATTGTTGAAACTTTGACGAGTCGCTAGCAATGCATGCTGTCATTTGATACGGTTCGAGTCCTGACCCGCCCACTGTCCAAA